TACAGTTTAAGCAACATATATTTTGGTGACTGTATTGAGGTATGATGCCTGGAAGGAAAGCCAGAATTGAGGAGAAAGAAACATGTACCAATGTCTAGCTTTCAGCTGGTTTTTAACCTCTTGTCATGATTACTAGGGCTTCTTCAAAGAGATGACAGAAACAGTCTAGCCAGAGAGAGGAAACAAGTGTCTGAGGCTGTTAAAAGTCCTACTGGACCAACTGATAGGAAGGGTTTCAATTGGGGCCTTATCCTTACAGCACAATTGACTCTCTTTGCAGATAGGGCATGGCTGCAGGGCAGCTCTTACAGCAATTCCTGTTAAGGTGGCCTGGCTTTGTGGCACAGATAGCAGATCAATGTAGTCTTCATTGAGCTAGACTCCAAACACTGGACTAAAAGTCTGTTTCTTGAAGGCCTAAAGAAGGTTATCTACTTTTTGGTTTCTTTGTTTTCTCTCTAGCTTTTTCCCAGTCCTGATCATAGAATAGTAAGGAGGCAGTTTTTAATCAGATATAAGTGAACTAACTGGAACAGCTCTTTCTCAACATGGGAGGCTCAGACATCTTACAGTGCTTAAGATTGCATTCCAAAGGAGTAAGAGGCTTTGGTATTGAGTTGCCCATGTCTCTGTGATAACTCGGACCCCGGTATGAAATTCAAGGAAGCAAGAAATTAAAATTTGGGAAGCAAAGGCTTTATTTCCAGGCCTGGTGACAAGTCTCCGGGAGCCAATTTGGAGACTATGCACCTCACAGCTAAAAGTCAGGTCTTTTATCTTGTAAATCCACAAACAGCTGCTGGTCACACAATGTAAGGAAGGGGCTGGGGGGTGTGACGCACTACAAAGCAGAAACGGCAATTGCAAGTCTCTCTGCATACTAGCAAGTTTAGATAAGAAGAAATCTTGTTTTTCTTAGCAAAGAATAGAGAAGTCTAACAACAGTTAACAACCTTAGTTACCTTACTTTAGCACCACAACTGCCATTTGTAGAGGGCAACAATGGTTAACATATTAATTAGGTAAGATTTTTACAATTCTTTACACAGGAGAGCATTGATTAACATATCAATCCTTTACCCAGAGGGAAAGGAACACACAGGTATTGCTATGATATAAACGAAGCTTTTACAATCTAATGCAATTAACACAATTTGTGACAGGCTAGGGGTAAAGAAGGGGCTTGTCAGGAGCTATTACCTCAGGCCTTTGTTTTATGGCCTTTTAGGAAGTTAAACTTAACCTAGTTAGATTTGAAGGGGGAAGAGGAGGGAGAGCAGCAGGCAGGCTTATACAGAACAGGCTTCACGGTGCGATAGTTAGGGGGCCTTAGGTTATAAAAGTCTCCATCCAATGATCTTGGGGGAAGACCTCCAAATGATACATGGGAATGAAACTCTCAACCTCTTAGATGTATAGTGTAAGTTCATGTTCTCCAAAATCAAAGAATGTATTTTAGGAACAGTAAAGGTTTAAGAGTAGAATATATTTACTGAGAGGGAGAATGTCCATCTTCTCTTGTTTTTCAGGCATGTCTCATTAATTGATCACCAATATAGCTTTATCTTGTAATTCTGATACTCTGTCCTTATATTTATCACTTCTGCTATTCATACTTTTGATAGAATTTTAATTTCCTGAATTTCTGGTTAGAACCTGTTTATGGACTTTGATTTCTTTGCCATACAAGTCATTATTTTAAAGTATTTTATTTCTGATAGCTGTGTACTCATGTGCTCAGCAGACTTAGTGATCCTTTGTTTCACTCAGTGATAAAAATTCAGTTTGGCTTTTGGTTTCTTCCCTTGCAGTGCACCATGGCTCACTTTGAGGGGATTAGGTGGTTTTGGAGGTATTTTGTTATATTGTCTTCTTGTTTTTGTTGTTTGTTTTTGTGATAAGCTTTGCAGACTGATTGTAATGAAAAGTTTTGTGTCTTTTTGGAAGACTTATAAATGTTTATTTTATGGCACTTCTTTTCATTAATGCCTTATTGGCCTGGCTAACCATTGATCTTTACCTTTGTCCCACAATCCACCTTCATTTACTTGCAACAGAAGGTTACAGAGGTACTTCATCCAGTTCCCAAATCTCAAGGAATGAGTCACAATATTATTAATGACACCAAAGCAATCCAGACATTGGCATCCAAGAATACCAATAGCTGGGTTATCATAACCCATTACATAACACATTAGTGGCTGTCATAATAAAATCAGCATCAGTTAAACTGTCAAACACAAACTGAGTATTGACAAATTCGAAGGACCAATAATTTACCATCTATAATCAGAGAAATTAGAGGATATATACTAAAACTAAACAAATATTGACCTACTATTGACCCATAATAAATATTTGCAAAGTGGGAAACCTGAGTAACAATAGAACAGTATTCAAACATCATAGCATAAAGGTAATTAGCTATCTAGAAAGTCATAAAATTTAATAGCTATACTATTTTATTTTTTTGTCTTTTTCGTTTTTATCGGTACCCGGGATCGAACTCACGACTGCCTGCTTGCAAGGCAGGCGCTTATGCCGCTGAGCTAAACCTCCAGCCCTAATAGTTATACTATTTAAAGTAGAGGTAGTGAGAATAAAAAAGTAAAATTTTAGAAATTGATGGAACATGAGAAAAAATGAGACAAAATTCTAGTGACGAGTACACAGAAATTCATAATGTTAGAGAGCAGTTGCAGGAAACAACTAACAAGAAAGAAAAGTAAACAGCAAAATATGAGAAATAAAAGAGAAAGAGCTGATGTTGGTAGCACATACCTATAATCGCAGCACTCGGGAGGCTGAAGTAAGAGGATCTTTGCAAATTTGAGGCCAGGTTGGCCTATAAAGTAAACTCAAGGCCAGCATGAACTGCATAGTGAGACCCTGTCTCAAAAAGATGGGGGGAAAAAAAAAAAAGGACAAAACAGAGAAAACCCAGATCCTAAAAAAAGAGAGAAATAATTTTTGAAAATAGAAAATCAAAATGGACCAAAATGGATCAAAATCAAAATGGAAAAAAAAAATTTGTTTTTGGGTGAATCCTAACATCTTTAGTTTTGGGCTCTAGCCAGTCACAACTTTCTCTTCCTCACTTGGGCCTACAGACTTTTTGAGGTGTCCCAGCATACCCTAAGCTTAATCACCCAAGACCATGGTTAGTATACGAGATTTTTCCTTTCTTCTGTTTGTAGATGTGAATGGCAGTCAGTGCTTTGGTTTCTGCTAGGTATGGGCTACAGGGCATGGATGCAAGTGGACTGTGACATTGTTGACAATCACAGGGTCTGATTTATTTCTTTTCTCCCAAGGTGTTGTTCTTATCTGACAGCAGTTCTGTTTAGTCCTCACTTTAGCTGCTCCATGCCAAGGGGTTGCAGAATATACAAATGGCTTAAAGTTGGTGGGTAGTTTCAGCTTGCATCAGCTTAGGATGCACCAGTGTCTGGAGCAAGGTTGGTTGATCACATGAGTTGGATGCCATTCAGTACACTACTGCTTCTAGGATTGGAAAGGGGTGATAAGTGCACAAGCCTGATTGCTCACCATATACAGTTAGCTGTTGATTAGATTGCTCATATTACTGTGTAGCATATATGTGTATGTGTATTGTGTAGCATATATGTAAAGACTTTAACTTTTTATATTATAAATTATAAATTAGGAACTCTGCATTAACTATATAAGAGCTCCCTATTTCCCCTTCACCTGTGCTTGGCAGCCACTTTCCTACTTTCTTCTGTAAGTTTCACTACTCTGTCTGCTTCTTACAAGTTAAATCATGTAGTATAAGTAGCATTGTGTCCTCATTATCTATACTGCATCACTGTCAGAATTTTTTCCCTTTGATGAATAGTAGTAATACTTCATTTTTTATTTAAATGTGTTAATGAAATCTAATTCAGCTATTATTAATGAAAACTACTTTTTGCTTTTTATAAACAGTACTGCTATAAATGTTCTGGTATCAATTTTGGTTTGCATTTTGGCTTACATTCTCTTAGATAACTTGGATAATGAATTGTTCATTACTGTATAGAACCTGTATATTTAAATTACCAGGGGAGCTACCAACCTTTACCAAAGTTCTGTACCATGCTATATTCCTACCAATAATACAGGAGGTTTCCAGTTTGTCCACGTCTTCACCAACCTCTCACATGAGTCTGTTATTTTGCTTTATGATTGTCTCTTACCTCTGATGTTAAAGTGATAACACAAGACAGTTTTGATTTGTAAGTCTCTGATGACTAATGATTTTGAATAGTTTTTAAGGTACTCATGGTACATTCATGTATCTTCTTTAGAGAAATACCTATTAATATTCTTTTTTAATTTTATCTCAGACAGGATCTTTCTGTGGTTTTTTTTTTTTTTAAACAATTTTCCATTTCAGCGTTGTGTGTTTCGTTTTGTCTACAGTGGATAAAGTAGGGCACATTGTTGTGAGATTTCTGGATACGAAAACTATTCTCTTCACATTTTGGCAGTTAAAGGACAATTAGTGATGATTATAGTATCACATACCTGTAATTCCAGCATTCTGGGATGCCAAAACAGCAGGAGTAAAATTGAAGCTCTACTTGGGCAATTTAATGACTTAGTGAGACTGTACCTTAAAGCAGAAATAAAGCTGGACATTTATACTCCCAACACGTGAAAGAGGATCCTTGGAAATTTTAGGTTTTCCTTGTATGAGTTCCAGGCCACCCTAACTCTGCATAGCAAGAGCATGTGTCGGATTAAAAAAAAAAAAATTAAAAAGTTTGAAATTTAGGACAGTGCAAAAGCATTGTGTTCTGTTCCTACTGCTACCACTTTATAGCCCAAGTCTGGTGTTTCCTTGTAATATTTGATCTTGTAACTCAGCTTAAAACTTACAGGTACTACTTGATAGTTAAGATAATAACTCCTTAGACTATCAAATGACAATACTAAGCATAAATGAATTATGTTTTACTTTAAAAGACCATCCGATTTTCTCTCTTTCTCTGTAGATAGAACAACTATTGAAAAATTAAGAACTATTTGTTTGGACCATTCAAAGCTTTGTGAAAACAATCTTAATCTACCTCTCAACTCACTTTTCTTTGGCCCTTCAGCTTCCCAAGTGCTGTACCTCACAGAGGTTTGTTTTTTCTTTGCAAATGTTAAATTTTATAGTAATACTAATTCTCTGTATGTATCTAAAACTTTATAATCAAGAATTTCATCATAATGATGACAAAAATAAATACTACTGAAAGGTTTTTTTCTGCAATTTTTATTACAGTTGTTTTGTTTCTCTCCCCTCACCCCATTCCAGGTGCTTTACACCTTATTAATGCCTGCTGTTCCACCTCTGGCTGACATTTCTTCAGACTTTCAGTTTCACTTCTTGAAAAGTGGTGGCTTATCCCTTGTACTGAATATGCTAATAAGGAAAAATTTCCTGCCAGACACAGACACAGAAACTCGGAGGAGTGCTTTCTTCAGTGCCCTTAAAATAGCCAAATTGTTATTGACTACTGTTGGCTATGGCCATGTCCGAGCTGTAGCAGAAGCCTGTCAGCGTGTTGCAGATGGTGCTGATCCTGTAATGCCAGTAATAAATTTTAAAACATTTTTTGAAATTTCTTGTTAGTGTTATTGTAAATAATAATTTAAAGACATGGGATTGCATAATATCTTACAGCTTCTTCTTATATTGTTATAGTTGTAATAAAAGTTTAAGTTTTTCCATACTAAGAGAACATACCCACCTTCTTGTTTACTTCACAACATTTAGTTAAATGAGGTTTCCTAAATACTTCATGTAAATCTTTGGTTACCATGAATGCATATATTTCTAGTACTAATGATCAAACTCACTGGGCTACATTCCTAGCACTTCTTTTTTTTTTCTTTTTAGGCAGGGTCATGCTAAATTACCTGCTGAAACTGTGATCTTTATCCCCTTACCTCTTGAGTAGCTAGATTATAACTACTCAGGATTATTGATTATGCCACAATACCTAGGAAAGATAGGTCACTTCAAAAGTATCTCATTCACATACCTCTTTCCTACAGTGACTAAGATTCTTTTCTTTGTTGTTATTCATGAGAGATCTGTACTTGTCATCCCAGTACTTAGGAGATTGAAGCAGGAGTACCACCTGAGCATTCAAAGCCTGCCTGGGTTATATAGTGAGTTACAGGCCAGCCTATGAGACCGTATCTTAAAAAACAACAGCAAACAGTGGCATAAGTGCCTGCATGGCAAGTGCTAGATCATGAGTTCAATCCTAGGTACCAAAAAAACAAAAAACAACAGCAACCACAATGGATTAAAATCATTTAATGTGAATAATTAAAATTCACAGGAAATTGCAAATTTAGCATTGAAAAGTCTCAAGTACACCTCATTTGTTTGCTGGGGATTTAGCTCAGTGGCATAAGCACCTGCCTTGAAAGCAGGCAGTCATGAGTTCAATCCCTGGTACCGATTAAAAAAAATTTGCCAATTTTAAAAAAACGTATATTTTAAAGGGGCTGGGGATTTAACTCAGTAATATAAGCACCTGCCTTGCAAGCACATGATTGTGAGTTCCATCCCCGGTACCAATTAAAAAAAACAGCAACAAATATAATGCTTAGTTTTGTTGCAAAGGACAAATTCAATTCTAGCTAAGACAGAGTTAATTTATTCATGTTTTAAATGATGGCTTTTTATAGCTCAGTGGTATGCACCTACCTGGCAAATGCAAGTTTGATTCTCATTTCCAAAAAACATTCAAAAAACTGAATGATTGCGTTATTAATTGTTGGTTTATAAGGCAATTTTATGTTTTTCTCTACATCTTTCTTTTTCAGTTTTCAAAAGAAAATGATAGGAATTTAGCAGTGGTTCTCATATTGCATATTATTGTCTTTAGAACGGTTGCTCAGGTTACCAGATACAGGAGTAAACAAAATAGTAAAATGGAAAAAAACTTCGCATTTAAAAAACAAGACAGAGGAAAAGTCCCTGATAGTTGCTGTAATGCATATTGTTGCCCTCCAAATAGATGCTCAGACCATCAGCTTTAGGCCTGTAACATCTATTATAAACAACATAAGCTTTAAGTTACTTGTTTTTCTTCAGTTGCTATCATTTCAGCCTAACTTCCTCCATATCAGCCCTTTGCTTAGAGGGCAGTAAGAGGACAGGGAGGTGGTTTACTCTTCTTGGCTTGCAGCCTGTACACTGGCTTGCTTGTGGGAAGGCTTGGTTTGCTTTATTGATTCTCTTCCTCTTCCCCAAGGTGGTTGTCTCTGGCTCTTGGGAACATACGATTTCACTTTTTCCAATTTTTTTGTTTTTTTCTCTCTTTTTTTTGGACCAGGGATTGAACATATGACTTCAGAGTTGCCAAGCAGGCACTTGTGCCACTGAGCTATATCCTTGGCCCAATAATTTTTAATTTTAAGTCACATTGTAATAAGAAACTAAATGTAAAACTTGTATATAAATATTTATTATAGAACTAGATACAATGTATGCAACAGAGTTGTAAGTTGAGAAATAATAATTGAATAAAATTGTAGGAATTTTTGGTCATGAATTTAAAAAGATTTTAAATTATTACATAAAACCTTTCACATAGTCACAATCAGCTGCCATTTTTCCACATTCTTTTTGTAGTTAGACTACAGAAGTTTTCAATAGGGTATATTTAGTTCTGCCAATACTGTAATAAAAACACTGTTTGGTTTCTGCTAGCTTTTTCATCCCTTAGATTCCCAATCACTCATTTTAATTTAATGATTTGAATTAGAAAATGATAAATGAGTGATGGCTTTAACAAGATAAGTATAATGTAAGAACAAGTAGTACAAGATTTTTCTGAAGTAAAACAATCTAGTCAGATTAATAAAAGGTTTTAAAACATTATGTGTAACTATTCAGCAGATAACTATGATGCATCTTATGGAGGCCAGGTATTTTGAGAAACACACATTGCGAATATGAATTTACTTAGAATCTGTTGTACAAGGTAGTTTATTAGAAAATGGTCAAAATACACTACACAAAATACACTACTTTATCTCACTTAAACATTCACATAGCTCTTTGGTGGTTCATTGCTATTCTTACATTGCACATAAAACTCAAGACCTAAAGTGAGGAAATAACTTGATATGACATAGTTATAACCAGCTACCATTTTAATTCAATAACTTAGAAACTGTTACTTTTACTCTTCTGCCACTTAAGCTTTCAATGTGAAATTCTGTAAAGTAACACCTGGTATGTAGATGTTTTTAGTTTGAAGGATTAATTTAGTTAATACGTACATAATGGGTAAAATTTTAATCAGTTTGGAGAGAGAAGTGAAAAATACTAGATCTGTTAAGTTTGCTGTACCTACCTGGTAACTGCAGTTAATGCTTCCCCATTGTCAAGTTTCTTAAGATGTTTAGGTCTTAATTTTTTAAAACTTTAAAATGGAAAAGCTGTACCTGAGGATGTGCAGGTTATACTGAGAGATGTTACCATGTAGTGCAAAGATGTTACCCTGTAGCGCTAAGGTAGCAGAGTTAAACTTGAACAGACTAAAGAATATTATGAAGATTAAGAATGGATTGTAGTGAAATAAGTTTTTAAACTTAGGAAAAGAATGGAAGAATTTTAGTTATCTTCTCCAGTTTTTTCTGTAATGTTATGCTAAATACTCACAGCTGAAAGAGAGACTAGAAGGATCTGCCCAAAGGCAAATGAAATCTTTGTTTAGACTTCTATGACTTATTCACTGCAAAAGCAAGTGAGTGTGGGGCTGGGGATTTAGCTCAGTGGCATAAGCACCTGCTTTGCAAGCAGGCAGTCATGAGTTCGATCCCCAGTACTGATTAAAAAAAAAAAAAAAGAAAGGAAGTTTGTGTAAATTTAGAAGCAGTATTTAATTCATCTAAAATTGGAATATATGGGGCTAGGGATTTAGCTCAGCGGCATAAGTACCTGCCTTACAAGCAGGCGGCCGTGAGTTCAATCCTCGGTACCGATAAAAAAAGACCAAAAAAAAAAAAATTGGAATATATGACTAAAAGTAGTAAAGTCTACAGTATTGGTAATCTAAAGTACAATTTTTTTTTTGGTATGGGAGATCGCACAACCTAGCCCTTGGCAGGTAGGCACTTATGCCATGAGCACCTTTTTATGAAAACCACTATAAATTCTACAGAAAATTGGTGAAAGGATAACATCCTGGGAAGTGATGATGGTTATGGAGCGAGTGATTTAATTTTACATATAAATTTTTGGAATTTTCTTGTGTGCAGTTTTTTCTTGAAGTAAAATGATTAATTTATTTCAGATTAACCAAGTCACTCATGATCAAGCTGTCGTACTACAAAATGCTCTTCAGAACATTCCTGATCCTTCATCTGAGTGTGTGCTAAGAAATATATCAGTACGTCTTGCTCAGCAAATAGCTAATGAGGTTTGTATCAAATTGAAAATTCAAAGAACCTAGATTAGCTTTGGTTACTTGTAAATGGAATTTACCACATTTGAAGTTAAGGACAGATGTAGTGGTCATATGTCTTTGCACTTAAAAAATCTTAAATCATCTAAGTTTCATAGAGTTATAATCTTTTAACCTAATAGTGCTTTTAAGTACTACTTACACAATCTTTCAATAAAGCCTTTTAAAATACATATTACATTGAATAACTGAGGGCAGATTAAATTTGATATTTAAACCTCTCATAGTTTATGAGTTGTATTGTATTGTATTGTATTGATTGTATTTTTAGAACAGTAACACCTTTATTACATGAGTAAGCCAATGAGGAAGGTTATTTGCCTTTCTGAGTGTTTATTTCCTCAGAGAGAACTCCAGCTCCTTGCCCTTTAGCACATAGCCATTCGTTGGTCACACTGGCTTGATCTAATGCAGTGGCAAGCAAGAAGCTCACTGTCCTGGAACTGGCCTTCTAGAAGATTGCTGATTTTGGCATTTGCCTTTCATTATACTTTGTTTGAATTTTCTTTGATCATTTTTTGTTTCAAATTTCTCCCTCCTCAGGAGTCAGCTTGATCAGCTTCTTGTGGGCCACTGACAGTACATCGTGGGATTCTTACCACTGTTGATATAATGTGCACCAGGGTCTTGGTGTGGACTAGCTCATTAATGGATGTATTGTAAACAGCATCAGTGATCTTTGTTTTTTGAGAACAACACTCCCAGAGTCCCAGGAGAAGTTTCATATATCCATCCTCAGGGCTCACCACTTCTCATTGCTTGGATTCTATGTATTTGACAGGGGCCAATCTTAGTATTGGCAGCAGGGCGACCCAACTCATACTTCCATTTCTTGTGGTACGACTTTATTTTACCTCCAGTCTTGCATCTTTTGTGCCAGTTGTCCCAAGAGTTGCCCCTTGTTCAGTGCCAGCTGGAATAAGCTGAGCAGAATATATTTTAAGCCCCCCAAATTTTAATATGTCTCTGTGTAACTTACACTCTCTGCCTCTGGTATCTGCAACTCTACTAATCTTTCTGTGAGTTTTATTGTCTTAAAAATCACATAAAACATACATTTGGCACTTTTAATGTGTGTATTGTATCAGCATGATTGTGAAAGTTATTCATGTTTGTTTTTGAGCCCATTCCATTTTTATGATGATTCCCTGTTTTTAATGCATTCATCTATGCATGAACATTGGATTACTCCTACTCAGTCTTTTACTTGTGAAAAGAGACCTGTCACAAAATTTTTGTGAGACAGTCACAGTTTTCTGTGGGCATATGTCTTCACACCGCTTGGGTAAACATTTGAGAGTAGAATGGCTAGTTAATCGGATTTTTATGTATTTTACAAATGCTTTGAAAAATACCTTAGTGCCATGTATCAGATCTTATATTGACATACAGTTTGTGAATGTTGCTATTAAATGTTTTTTCTTTATGTGTAAAGTCATGATGTATGACTTGATTATAAGATACAAAAAAATAAAAAACAGAATCAAGGGAGCTTTGGGCTGTTAGTAGCAGTCTGTAGCATATTACTTCTTTTCTAGTCATTTCTGCTACTAAAAAAGAGAGATGTTGGCCTGAGGATTTAGCTCAGCTGCACAATGCCCGCCTGGCAAGCACAAGATTCTAAGTTTGATTCCCAGTGCCCCCCCCCCCAAAAAAAAGAGAAATACTTTGTTAGTGGATCCAGCCTGGTAGTGCATACTGTTAATCCCAGGGATTGGGAAGCTGGGGCAAAAGGATCACAAATTCAGGGCAGCCTGAACTACATAGGAAATATAAGACCTACCTGAGCTATGTAATGAGTATAAAACCAGCATAATGTGCTTAGTGATGGGATCCCCTCATTTTTTTCTAATTATTGCTCTTTATAATTGTCAGCATGTTTAATTTTATTTTTACAGGCCTCAAGACATATGCCTAATATCTGTGTGATTAAAGCTATACAAAAAATTATCTGGGCATCAGGATGTGGGGCATTAGAGCTTGTATTTAGCCCAGATGAAGAAATCGCTAAAATTTATGAGATGGTAAGAATTACTACAAAAAATATATTACTTTAAAGTTTCTTCATATCTGTCATATGTTAAAGACCAATTCTTTGTATTTGTTTCAACTTAACACTATCAGAATACATGCAGTTTTATTTTGAAGATAAAGTATTTCAGAATCCTGCCATGAGGACCTTGTGCTTGACAGGCAGGTCTGAAAAAATATTTAAAAACTCAAATTGCAATAGACAATAGTCTCTTTGAAGGAATTATAATTTAAGCAAATATTCCACATACTTTAAAACATAAGAAAATGAATGATTAAGTATAGTCCTTTAATCCTATTACAATACATTCCATAGAGTCTCAATAACTGCAAATGAAAGCCTGAGACCAAGTCGTATTTGTAGACTAGGTAATTTTAAATATTAACTAGAAGATCTGAACAATTTTTCTTAACTGTGTCTGTCAGTAATTTGCTTCCTATTGTTTACAGATGACCAGTACAAGCAGTGAGCCAGGGATAGAAGATGAACAGGTTTGCTGTGAGGCTTTGGAAGTGATGACATTATGTTTTGCTTTAATTCCAACAGCCTTGGATGTACTTAGTAAAGAAAAAGCCTGGCAGACATTCCTCATTGACCTGTTATTGTACTGTCGTAGCAAGTAAGTGTTTTTAAGTATAATTGAGGAAAGAAGGCTAACTTTAAGAACATGAATTTTGAAGGGACTGTATTTCATGATGTGCAGGAAATAATTTTTCTTATTTGCTACACAACTTGGTTTGCTCTGTCTATAAAACGTCCACATCAAGGGAGTTTTTCCCCCCTTTTCTTTTTTATTGTGTTACTTATTCATGAGGGGGGGAAAAGGCATTTTAACCTATGGTAGGTGAACAGTTTAGTGACTAAGTATATTTATTGTGACATCATCAGAAATACCTAAACATACCAAAATTCTTCATCACCCCAAATTCCTTTAACGAGTAACTTTTCCCTACTGTTTGATCTCTGGTTACACTTGATACCTCTTAATTTGTCTATTATAAATATCTCATAAATAGAATTACAAAATTCTATCTTTTTTATTCTATCTTTTTGAAGTTCAGCTGTATTGTATCATGAGTCATCAATGAATTTATAAAGCTAGGCTAGGCATGATGTTACACACACTTAATCCCAGCACTTGGGAAGTAGTAAGTCAATTTGCAAAGTGAGTTGTAGGTGAGTCTGAACTGTATAGCAAAACCTTGTCTCAAAACTACCAAACAAAACAAAATAAACTTTGAAAGCTAAGTACTGTATTATATACATACAGCACGTTTTTACACTTTAATCTGTGTTGTGAATTATGTCAGTCTTAACAATGAACATTGCCATAAGTGCAGATTTCTATCTACAGTTTCTTACTCAGTCTTTGAATATATGCCTAGCAAAGGATATTTCCATTTTACTTTTTTGAGGGTGTTCTGAACTTTGTAAATCTTCCATTTTACATGTCCACCATCAGTTTACATAGATTATTTTCTGCATTCTCTCCCAAATTTGTTTTCTTACTTCTCTGATAATGAGGAATGTGATTTTGCTTTGAATTTGCCTGATTAGTAAATTAGTAGTGACACTGATAATTTTTCTATGATTTACTGGTTAATTGTGCGCAGTGTTTTAGAATTTTGTGTATTTACAATTTCTGTGCATTTTTTAATTGAGTCATGTTTTTGAACTTTTGGGTGTGTTAGTCTTTGATCAGATATGTGATTTGTAGATATTTTCTCCTATCCAGGGAGTTAGTTATCTTTGCCCTCTGAAAATTTCAGTTTTGATATTTGGCATTTTATTGTTATTGTTGCCTGTACTTCTGTAATCTTCTCCAAATCCAAGTGAAATTCATCTGTTGATACATTGTTTGAAGAATTTCAGACTTTTGTCTTCCCAATTTAAGTAGAGTTTTCTATTTAAGTAGAGTTTTCTATGTGAGGTAAGGATTCAGTTCCACTCTTCTGCATTACATGTTTTTTCAGCACTTTGTTTTGGTTTGCATTTTGATTGAATCCATTTCTTCACATTGAGATGCATCACAGGCTCCCACACCCCTTCTGGTCAGTGTGTGCAAGAGAGATACAGTATCACTGAGTTACCCAGGATGACCTCTTAACCTGTGATTCTCCTACCTCATCTAGAGTTGTAGGATAGCAGGGATGTGCAACCATCCTTAGCTTCCAACACTGTTATTTAAAGAGAGTGTTGTTATAATACTTGAATAACCAAATACCTAACAAAGAGCCTCATATGAGAAGAGCTGCAAATCCTTATTTCTGGGGTATGAATTCTGTTCATATAATCTGGTGGCCTCTCCTTAGGCTATGGTTGGTATTAATATTTGTTGAACATGGGTTCAACAAATCTTTTTGAAGATTTTTGCATGTTTTTCTATATGTATTTAAAAGTATATGGATGTATAATTAATACTAGGCATTGAATTCAAGGCCTGTGCATGCAAGGCATACAGTTCTCCACTGAGCGGCATCTCCCAACCCTTTTATTTGTTACTTTATTTTGGGACAGAGGCTAAATAATTTGCCTAGTCTGACCTGTTTCTCCTGCTTCAGCTTTCCCAAATACCTTGGGCTTACAGATAGGCACCATCTCCCTTTGCCATATTCATAAGAGGCACAGTCTTTTCTTGAAGTGTTGTGCGTGATTTTTATCAGGATAGTGTTGGTTTTTATAAATTAGAATGTCCTTCCTTTTAAGTTCTTGGAAAAGATGATGTTTAATTTTTTTCTTTTAAGCACCTCAGAGTTCACCTGTGAAACTTCTTTAGACATGGTATTTTCTGTAGGTTTGTTTCTTTGGTTGTTTTTTAATAATCGTATGGATTTACCTCTGATATAGTAATCATCAAATTCACCAGGGAAGTAGTACCTGTAAATAATATATTAATTTTTCCCACTCTGCTTCCTTCCTTCCTTCTTCCCCTCTCCCTTTATTAAATTTTGTTTCTATTGTGTTTCTTGCATTGTTTTAAATTTTTTTATCCTTATTCCTTCCCTAGCAGTTAGCCTCTCCCCGACCTTGTTAACCTTCCCATTTGAACATTTTCTTCCTACTTCCCAGTATCTTGTTATCCATTGTAGTCTTTATTTATCCTTTGGATTTCTCACGTAAGAGTGGTGAAGTGGACATCCTTGTCTTATTCCTGATTTTAGAATGAAAGTTTTCTGTTTTTAATCATTTAGCATGATGTTGACTATTGATTTTTCAGATTTGTATCAAATGGAGAATCAAGAAAAGACTCTAGAAACATTTCCAATTTATCTTGCATGAATGTTGGACTTTGTCAGATGCCTTTTCTGGATTAATTGAGATGATCCTGAGATTTCTATCCATGGTTCTCTCAATATGATATATTACACCATAACCAACAGACAGATCAATTAGATAACTTAAAGAGATGAAATAGTCATCTCCAAGACCAAGTATTCCTTGATGTTAGGATTTTATTTGAGAAGTGTGCTGATTCTGATGGGTTTGGTGATTTCTTTTCTCTAAAAACTTTGAGTACTATGTACTTGTGTTGAATTTCTATAATCTTTATAAGCTTTTCTGTCGATATGATCAAATTGCAGCTATTTGAAGTTATATATGCCTCACTTTTCTGTATCTCAATATCCTTTTTCATACTGAGCAAGTTTTCTGCTGTTTCTGTGAACTTTCTTTTATGTCTGTCATGCTGCCTTCTGATTTTTCATCGATTTCAATTAATTTTGTGTTCTTGGTGTCATTCTGCAGTTGCTAGATTGATTTTTCATAGCCCCTTGCTATTTTTAAGAAGTCTTTTCATTTGATGATCACCAACTATAAGCCTGTCTTCACATGTGTTGACTCTGTTGTATATATGTTGAGTAGAATTTTTAATCTCCTCAGTATGTATTTGAATCTATTTTATGGAATCCAGTTCTTTCGTATTTTAGGCATTGATGGTTTCCCTCACTTTCTTAAGCTGCTCACTTTTTCTTTTTTAATCATGTCTACAATAGATTTAGTAAACATGTATTTTATTATGATCATCATCACTTTTGTTATCTATTTATATCTCATAGATTTTTTTTTCTGGAGAGACATTCATTAGTTTGTTACTTCCACGACTACCATTTCAGAAAGTTCAGCTGTGGGTTGCTTTTCATTTCTTCTGCTTAAGTACTGCCTGGATTTCTCTTGTGAGAGCTGGAAGTCTGTGGTTGCATCTTGCATCTGTTTTCTCTCTTTCTAATTTTAAATTTGTTTTCTACATCACTACTGATAAATTGCCTGGGATAGGTAGCTTTAAATCTAATATGGGAACTTCAGAAATGTCTTCTAAGCATAACTGGTTTTCTTCTTTTGAGTTTGTTCTTTCCCTCTTCAGTTTACTAGGAATCACATTGCAGCCTATGTGACCTAGCACCCATTTCGTCAGCATGGACTATGGCATTATGACTCAAGACAATCTCAGAGCTGGCATTTAAGGAAGATCAGCTGATCACAACTACGTTTCATTTGCTAAAGTAGTACAACCAATAATAACTCTAGTATCCACCACAGTTTAGGAAATGGAAAAACTGATAACTGTTAATTTGACAACCTTGATCATATACATAAGATTTATAGTTATATATCAAAATCTGAAACAATCAGGAAATTATATATAGCAAATACTCAGTTTTGCTCTCAGGATAGAAAATTCAAAAGGGAAAAGAAGAAAAAACAGAGAAATAAAAGAAAGAAATCAGAATCAAGGCCTGTAGGGCAAAAGAATATTGCCCAAGCTTTGGGAAACAGTGAAGAAGAGAAGAAGAAAGGAAAAAAAACAAAAACAAGAAAGAAACTAAAAAAAAAAAAAAAAAAAACAGAAAACACAAGCAAAGAATCTGGTAACAGTGTTCATATTCATTAAAACAAAAACGTATTTAAGGAGAATAAATTACAACAAAAATCTTCTCTGTGATTTAAAGCCTATAGTAATGTTTTGGAATCTATAGTTTCATCATAATGAATGTCTGGATGAGTCTCTCCTGTCCCTGATACAGAAAAGAGGCACAGCAAGCCCATATCATTTTGAATGATTCCAGCAAGACTCCAATAGGAATAGATACCCAAACTGACTTCCTGGTTGTGAAATTAAAGCCTGAATTGTTCTATCTACACACTGTACATACTCCTTGTTGGTTTGACCTTAGCTACCTGGCCCTGCATATCTCCCAAAATGTCTCTCACCCAGACACTTTAATTTCAATACTGAGATCCCTGAGATGAAGCTAATTCCCACTCCCAGGTTCAACTGACCCCTCTCTACAATGCAGTTTGACTAACTGTCCTCTCCAGCGGATATACAAATGCTTGAACTAGAGTTACTCAACAAATCTTGTACCACACAGCATCTTCCACTGATCCATTCCCATGGAATTGGGGCTGAAAGGGGAAGAAATGGTGAATGTGACGCCTGGGGAAGGAGAGTTAGCCTGTGTTCACAGGAGCGCTCAAGTGGCTGACTTTGAGATGGCATTTTTGTGTATACTGGAAAAACTACTGAGATGAGAGTTTGAAGGTAGCTATCAGAAATTATTTTATTCCTCTAAGGGAGGAATAAAGGTATAGGTTTTTTGATAGACATTATAAAGAGATCTGGCTTATAGGGGCAAAGTTGGGACCTCAGAGGCAGAGAAATCCAACTATATGGTTTTTGTTTCTAAGAAAGGAGGGTTTACTGAATGAGAGCATTGTTATAAGTTGTATTTGCCTATTAAGTGCTGTGACCCAGTAGAGCTCCTGAGGTTTTTTAGAATTAAGCACCGCAGGAAGATAAGAAAAAGAGACATAGCAGGTGGAGTCCTTATCCTTCTGACGGAAGGAAAGGTAATGCTCAACCAGTGCAGCATGTTTATTTATATGCTGTGAAAAATGATGTCAATTTCAGCTCCTCTGCCTAGCAACCCATTGCTTGGATTGTCGAGGAGTGTGGTGTTTTCTTGGGCTGCAGCAACTTCTTTATGTGGCTGACCCAGGAGCTCTTTTTTTATGGTAGGGTCACATCTGGTTCATACTTTAGGTCAATTTCCAGCTTCCATGGCTCTCAACACATAAGGTGGGCATAAGGTCAAGCTCCATGTATTCAAAGATAATGTGGAGTGTCTGGAGGGTAAGGCATGGTATATAGTATCCATTGGAGCAGAGGAAAAAGAAGAGAGAAATATCTGAGTGACAGTTTGGGGAGAGTAGAGTAAGACATCTTGAATACATTGAAACTCTTTACAATCTGATTAAGACTGTAGTGAACAACCTAACCAAAAAGGTGAAGACTGTCCCAAATACTTTGAGGGAGGACTGCCCAAGTAAGCTATTCTTGGTCTCTTCTGGTTCAAACTAATTTTAAGAGTCTTTTCCAGTTCTGTAAATAGATATTTTGATTTTGGGGTTGCATAAAATCTGTGTGTTAATTTTGCAGCAGTTGCCATGTTTACTGTTGGTTCTGCCTAGGAGAAAGAATATTATTTCATTTTCTAATGTCTTCTTCAGTTCCCTTTTTAGAGACCTGTAGTTTTTGTTATGTAGATCCTTTACTTACATTAATTCCTAATTTTGTAATTTTTCTTGTGCTAATTATGTGGCCTTATTTTTTCTACTTCTTTTTTACTGAATTCATTATTAGTGTAAAATGCTATTGATTTTCATGTGTTGATTTTATGTCCTGCTATATTACTGAATTTGGTTATTAATCTATGAGTCTTCAGGTAGATTTTGGGGTGTCTTTTGCATGTCACCTCCAAATAATAATAATTTAACTTCTTCCTTTCTAGACATACCCTTTTTATTTTTCTTGCCTAACTTACTATGGTTCTGTGTTGAATAAACATGGTTATAGTGGACATCCTTGTCATCTTGTTTTTAGAGGGAAAGCTTTCTTTCTCTCCCCCTCTTAATATGATGTGGGCAATAGGTTTGTCATTTTTTATTTGAAATCCCATTTGTGGATTTAAGTTTTACCTGTCTCATTACCTAAACCAAAAAGGGCACATTCATCTGCCCATCCAGTTATAATGGAGTTTGAGGCAGGCAGGCTGTTAACTTGAACTCATCAAGTAATTTAAAGTTAGACTGGACAACAGAGCAAGGCCCCTTAAAAAAGTGACATGCAAATGAGACAAAAACTAATTTTAGCTAGTAAGGAACAACTGTGCTAGACCAGCATATTCCCTAAGCAAACTACACAGTGCAGTGTTAAACCATTGACAATCTAGATTTTAACAGATACGTTAGTTACTTTTTGTCACTGAAATATGACCTGCAACCCACAATTTAAAGGAGAAAAGGTTTATCACAGTTTACAGAGATTTCAGTTCATGTATAATTTACTAACTTGTAGGCAAAGTGGCATAGCAGAGAGAAAGTGCAAAGTACTGGGGAAGAGATAATTCTCTTCCAGGGCATGGCTGTAGTGACTTGCTAAGTCTCATTTAGCTATAAACTCATCAATGAATTTATCCATCAGTGAGTGCTACAGAAACAAGATCCAGTCATCTTCTAAAAGCCCCACTTACGAGTGCATGAGGCTTTTGAAGGATGTTAGACATAAACCATAACAACAGAAGTAGTTGATCTGACATTATATGTAGATATGTTTAATCAGGTGAAATGATTGTTGTAAGTAAAGTATGTTTATTGTAGTCTAAAAGTACAGGCTGATACTGTTATGAAAGTCTTCACAGAGGCTACTGGCTTTCATTAATTATATTTAAAACTGATAGATGCATACTTTTTATTGTATATTAGAACAATGAGTTGTTTCCTAAATTTATGGGAATTTAAGTTTTTATTTCTTAATGAGTGATAACAGCTTAGCTTGTAAGAAGATTGCTAGTATTTACTCATTTAGTAACTATAATAATCTGTCAAGTAACTGATTGTCATAGATTCTATAGTTTAGCACTAATATGAGGGGTGGTGATGCAAGGGAATTGTTAAGTTTGAGACCACTTTGGGCTATCTAGCAGGTTCCTGGCCATCCTGAACTATTTATCAAGAACTGCCTCCAAAGTGGGAATAGGGGAAAGGAACAGTAGAATATGTACTCTTTTGAAGTGTTTATTCTATAAAAATCAATATCACATTTAAAAATATAATAATTATTGATGTTCCTAATACTGAGATTAGAGATAAATTTAAATAGTGCTTCTCAGTGAGAGAATATTATACAATAAAATGTTTGAGTAGTTTTCATAAGTTATACAGAATCATTAGCATGGCTTATTAAACTGTGGATTGTTTGGCTTCTTAACCATTGTTTATGAATTACTAAGTGCAGAAGTTAGCCCAGAAATTTGTATTTCTTATGCATTCTCAGGTGATGCTGATGATGGTGCTACTGGTCTGAAAATCATATTGTGAGAACCATTGATAGCCTTACGTTATTATATAATATATTATGTCCTCCAAAGCAGTTTATTAAAAGCAACAGTAAAAAAGATGTAAAGACATACTGAACTTATTACATAACATGGTACTTTGTATAGTATAGAGAGCCTTTTCTGTACTGTTTCAAAAAAAGATATTAAGGGACTATGGATATAGCTCAGTGAAACTGTACCGGCCTAGCAAGTGCAAGGTAATAAATTAAATTCCCAGTAACAACAACAAAAAAAAGATATTAAAATATATTCCACAGAACTAAAGGCATATAATTCATTCAATCTTACTATCTCTACTCTGTATGTCATTACATGTTGGAAACTTTGAGAAGTCATACATTGGGAAACTTTAACATTCTGTAAAAAATAATACTCTTGGGTTTTTCAAGTGACAGTTTGTGGTTTAATTTCCTGATAGATACCTTGTTTGTCTTTTGTTGTTACCTAAGTATTCATGTTGGGAGAGAGGGGCTACTTTGTATTTTTATGTTAATTTATATCCCCTATTAATAGAAATTAGTTTGCCTTTATTTGTGAAAGTAACAACATTAAATAAAAAAATCTTTTTATTTCAGAACTGTCCGTCAGTTGGCACAAGAGCAGTTCTTTGTAATGTGTACCAGATGTTGCATGGGACACAGGCCTCTACTTTTCTTCATTACACTACTCTTTAAGGTTTTAGGGGTGAGACATTTTTAAATGAACCTATAAGTATAATTCATTTTTAAAATTGAGAAACATTCAAAATATAGTTATTAAATTTATCTTTTATTAAAGATAGCCATAACAAAATCATTTATTTATAGTTGTAGTTTTTTTCTTGTTACACTTAATTTTTAATTTTCTGAGGTTTTAAAAAATGTGCATTATGACCATAGACTTCAGAGTTCGTATTGTTTTAATTTAATATTTCAGGGCACAGCAAGAGACAGAGGTAAATATTCAGGTGACTATTTCACCCTTTTACGACATCTTCTCAGTTACGCTTACAACAACAATATTAAGGTACCCGATGCTGATGTTCTTCTCAACAATGAAATTGATTGGCTCAAAAGAATTAGGGTAAGTTGAGTAATATACAGATTGTTACATCCATGTTAAATGAGTTATCTTGTTCAAAGAAGGCTTACAGTTTTGTATGCTTTCTAAACAGAAAAGTCTATATTAAAAAAAACAAAAAACATTCCATAGGTAATTAATAACCCTCAGATAGAATATACAGCTAATTTTGTTTAAATTACTTGATTGGAAGCTTGGAATATTGATACTCCGTTTTCTTCATTTTAATATTTTGAACTCTGCAAATTATTATATTGAAGTTGTTTCAATTTCAGTGTTAAATACTAGTGTTTATTTTAGCTACTTTATTTATACATAGTCCTGTGAAAATATAAATATACAACTGTTAGGTTTCAGATTAACATTTTTTCAGCAGCTTATCATGAAGCAGTATTTCTGAACCCTAGCATTACTGACATTTTATACTGTATAATTTTTTTGTGGAGCTTCCTCATAATATAACATATTAAGCATTATTGGGCTGGGTGTTTAGCTCAGTGGCATAAGTGCCTTCCTTGCAAATGTGCAGTCTTGAGTTCGATCCCTGGTACCGATAAAAACAAAAAAGACAAAAAAAAAAAAAAAAACATTATCTGTGGCTTCTACTAGGTACAGTTTTTTTCCTCCTGAGTTCTAATGTCCAAAAATCTCAACCACTTAAGAGAAAAGATTTGGGGAAATTATACACAAAAATTCATACCTTTCCATATCTTTTTTCCTTCTTATTTTTTTCCAGTATCTTTTAAATGAGTCCTATAATGGTTTTGTTTGGCAGGATAATGTTAAAAACATGGGTGAAACATTTGTAGAAGAGCCAATCTTGGAAGGCCACCTTGGAGTAACAAAAGAATTGTTGGCCTTTCAAACACCTGAGAAAAAATATCACATTGGTTGTGAGAAAGGAGGTGCTAATCTTATTAAAGTAAGTTCTAAATTTTGGTACTAAACTTTTAGGATCTTTTAATGTTGGTAGATGTAACTGATGTTTCTGTAATATTGTCTTTTAACAAATTACCTTTTTCCTACTACTTTTCTTTTAAAAACCTGTATATCTGTAGAAGTTATATGAATTTTTAAATGTCTACCTCATTTAAAGAGGTTTTTTAGAAAGACAGTCATGGACAAATTTGCTTAATCAAAGTCACCGTATTTACCAAATCTGAGTATTTTACTCATTTACAGTTCAAAATAGGAAGTTGTCTCTACCAATAATAGTGCTAGGGATTGAACCCAGGGTTGACACATAGTAGCTAAATGCTTCATTACTGAGCTACATTTTCATCCCCTTTTACAACTTTGAAACTGTGTGAATAGGTTACCCAAGCTGGTTTCACATTTGTAATAGCTAATCTGGAAAATCAACTATATTCAGTAGTTTTTAATTAGAATTTTATTAGAAAATCCAGAACTATTTTTGAGGTGTAAGATTTGTTTATTTATGTCAAGGAATTAAAAAAAGCACTTTTGTATTAAAAAGATACTTTTTTAAATACACAGTTTTACTAATACGTAATATATTTTTTTAACTCCTTAGGAATTAATTGATGATTTCATCTTTCCTGCCTCCAAAGCTTACCTCCAGTATATGAGAAATGGAGAACTGCCATCTATACAGTCTATTCCAATCTGTAGTTCATCAGCTACGATCAGTGCTGGTTTTGAACTACTTATAGCATTTGCTTTCAGTTGTATAAGGAACTTCAAACATATAGTAGATTGTCTAACTGAAATGTATTACGTAGGCACACCAATAACTAGTAAGTAAATTGTAAAGCTGCTTTTGTTTTATATCTTACTGTTTAAAAATTAAGACCATTACACACGAAGAAAAGATACATAATATCTGTTAACTTTGGTGGACTTAGATAATTTAACATAGTAAATTTTATTTAATCATACATGAAATCTGGATTCCAAAGATCATAGTGAAAGCATATAAACTACAAATCAGGCTTTGATTTACTTAATGTTGTTTGATGAATGTATTGCATACATTTGAATTCTAAGTAAGATGACAGCAAGGATTTGTTAATCAGTACACAAGAATATTTGCATTTTTTTTTTTTTGTCCCATCAATGCCCACAAAATGGGTATTCAGCTTCAGATATTACCAGACTGATTCTTAGGAAGGTAAGTGGTCAGTATCCTATTAAAAAAAAAAAAATAGACATAAGCATGATGGCATTACCTGTCATCCTAGCTCCCAAGGAGGCTGAGACAAGAGAATCCCCATGACTCAGAGGCCAGACCATATTACATAGCAAGTCCCTGCCACAAGACAAAAATAATAACATAAAATTTATTTTTAAGGGAAAACCAAGTATTATAAATATTACCAACTGTTAGATTCAGTAAAAACACCCAAAATTGTGTTAACAATTTTTTAAATAAAAAAAAATTATTAATTACATTTTAGGCCATTCTAGATAAGCTTATTGCTTAACGAAAATACATAATAAAAATATTGACTTTCTGCATGTTGCCTATACCTGCTTTAAAGAGAGCCTCAATTCAAATTGTATATACTGTGTCTATTTCTTCATTTAATCTTTTTTTACTCCTCCTTCTCCTCTAACACACATACACAAAAATGGGAAAAGAATAAACATGGTATTCTTGTCTTTTTTCTTTTTTTGCATTCGATTCAGTAATGCCAGTTGTATAACTGCAGTTCATTATAACCTTTACTAATCCATTCAGTCCCCATGTTAGTAATTGATGTTTGTTTCTTCTTTTACTCTTAGTAATATATTTTTCACAGTACTTTTCAAGACACTGTATTGTTGGTTGCTAAACTGTGACTGTAGACAGCATTGTAACTTTATTCCCATTTAATAAAAAAGAAAACATAAAATTTATGTGAAGGACATAGCTTTAAGTCCAAACCATGAGTTTAATGTCAAGGTCTTACATACAATTAAAACTGAAAAGCAGTAATGTTTTGTTTTGTGTTTGTTGTTTTTGTTTTTGTTACATTCTCACTGTGTGTTCAGGCTGGCCTTGAACTCATGCGTAGCTCTGAATGCCTGTGAATTTGCAGTAGTCCTCTGGCCTCAGACACTAAGTGCTGGGATTATAGATTTGCACTACCACAAGACAGCAGTGCTTTTATCATTTATGTTAAGTTCTGATCACAATAAATTGAATATAGTTATTACAAAAGTAAAAGCATTTTAATAAAATTAAAATTATGTTAACAGAAATTTAATATCACACTTTTACTGATGCTTCTAAGAATTGTAATCAATAAAAATGTGAACTCCATTGGTCCGTAGTAAAAACTGTTATAATAGCTAATATTATTTAACTTAAAATTTTGGATTACCGTCTCAGAATGCACCTAGTAGAGCAAGAATTGTTGATCATATTAACTTGTTAACCTAATGGAGTTGAAAATGAACAGAATTACTATTTTCATGCAATAAGCATCTCTTATCTTTTGTCAGCTTGTGAAGCACTTACTGAGTGGGAATATCTGCCACCTGTTGGACCCCGGCCACCAAAAGGATTTGTGGGACTGAAAAATGCTGGTGCCACTTGTTACATGAATTCTGTCATCCAGCAGCTATACATGATTCCCTCCATTAGGAATAGTATTCTTAAAATTAAAAGCACAGGGAGCGATATAGATGATGATATGTTCTGGGATGAGAAGCAACATGGTGAGGTAAATTTTAATGTTCTTTTTCGTGTGTGTTTAAAGATCCAGATATCAAAAAATAAAGGTACAGGTATCATGCTTTATGTCTCCCTTAGGACACTGACTTACATTTTTTTTTAAGTTATATAAGAAGATATTGCTACTTTCTATGGCATATTACACTGCCCATTGTATATTGGATTTGAAATTCAAACTGATAATTTTTAGTATCTGTTTTCTGTTTATCTTCCCTGTATTTTCAAACTATCACAGTTGATGATTTGTTTTGGGTGACGTTAAAAATAATTACTTGTTTGTAAAATTACAACTTTTTAATGCAACTTTTTATCTGGGATATTACTGTTTTTATTTTTTGTTCTGGGAGGAGTTATTTTGTTCTATAGTTGAAATTAGACCTTTGCCTTTCCCACGAGCTGCGTTTTGGAAATATTTTTGTTTCTGTTTTTTAGATATGGTCTCTGTAAGTTAGCTAGATGCCCGACCTCGATTGAAACTTGGAACCCTCATGCCTTTGCCTCCAAGAATGTTGTAGTTAGAGGCATGGCTAGTTTTATTCTTGAAGGATATTCCTTTTCACTTATTTTGACTTTTTTTTTTTTTTTGCCCGTCAGTCTCATAATCCATGTTTATTCTAGATCTACTTATTTATCTATTTTTATTGTTCGATACTGGGGATCGAACTTAAGCCCTCGCACTTGCCAGGCAGGGATTTATGCCACTGAGCTAAATCTCTGACTCCCCCCTTTAATATTTTATCAAATAATCACTAATAACAGAAATTAGATTTATTTTTTCATTAATACTACATTACTTGTTAACAACAATAGATAAGCAGGATACAGAATCTTCAATAAATATTGTGGAAGGGTAAGAAAATTCTCAAAAGGAAAAAATAACCCAGATAAGGAAAAGGAGAAAAGAAGAAAGGGAAAAGAAAAAAGATATAAATCTATACATATACACTTAAGTTGGCCAAGATGATTGTAATACTAATTCTATTTATAGGATTATGTCAATTTTGCATGTTTATGACTGGTAATCTGAGTGACTCTTGTTTTGAAAGCCTATATTGTTTTTGTTTTGGGCTCTTTGTTATTGTTAGTTATTTGTCTCTTGTTTCTTGTTTTTCTTGTATTTTGTTTTGTTTTCCCCTCTAATACAGAAAGGATGGATGTACATGTGTAGGTTTATATATGCTTAAAACTTCTACAGAGTTTATAAGAATTTTATTATGTGTGATAGTATGAACAGCTGTTTTGAAGAAAATAAGACCATTATGGTATCCATTGCTGATTTGCTGTCATCTTGCTTTGAAGTCCAATAATGCTTTTATTCTTTGTTTTGATTTGTTTAGTCTTTTCTATTATTTGATTTCAATTTATGTGAAGGTACAGACAGCTATTTTGAAGAAAATAAGAGACATTAGTGTAGCCATTGTTGATTTCTAATTGGCTGGTTTTGAAGATAATGCTTTCATTTTTTGTTTTTATTTGCTTTATACTATTTTGTTTTGTGGAACTTACTGTGTGTGAAGATACAGACAACTGTTTCAAAGAAAATGAGATATTGTGGTAGCCATTGTTGATTTTTTGTTGTTTTGCTTTGAAGTTCTGTATTGCTTACATTATTTTGTTCTGATCTGCTTTGTTCTGTTTTGTTTTGTTTTATTCTCTTTTTTAAAAACCCATAGATAATCTAAACTGTCAACCAGTCGGTGGACAGGAAAGCAAAAGCAAAGTTAACTTTATATGGCAAATTATGGTCTTAAGATATGCTCTGGCTCTCAGTTAATCATCACTTACTGAATTTCACAATTGTGTTTCTATCCCATTCTCCCAAGATCTAATAACCATATCATTCAAGCTTCTGGTTCTGGGTGTGTTTAGTCTATCAAAAACAGCCATACATAGCAAACAGTGATTCTTTTGAAATACAGCTCTTCCTATTGCTTAGCTGCAGATAGTTGACTGATCATACTGGCACAAAAATGAAGCAGAAAAAATACTTTTAAAAATATGAAATTTTTATTGTTTCCTTCCCTGTTTTTTTTAACCTGATCTTCCTTTTATTATGTCATTATTTACTAGTTTCTATACTAGTCTATGAGCTTCTCAAGGACGAGAGGTAGGTATTATTGGTCTGTCATAACATGAAGTAGGTATCATTTGTCTGTCTGTCATAAATTTCAGATACACAGTAAGCATACAGAAAAGATTTTCAAGTATTGGTAAAACAGTTAAGTTCTTGCATGTACTTTGAATGAAATTTTGACTTTCAGAGTGTCTGTCTGAACTGTACTCTTACTCTTATTGTAAGTCATCTAAATAGCAGTTGTTGAGTACAATTCATATTATGTAAGTTACTGGTATTATTCATGAATAATGCATTATTTGCACAAAAAGATACTGACTTATAGAATGACTAGGTAATTTTTCCTGAAGTTACTCAAATCAACAGTAGTCATTTGTGTCTGAACCAGTCTATTTAATCAGACTGCATTATATTACCTCCAGACTGCATTTTATTACCTCTAGTGAATACTCAGAATTACTGTTATTACTCTTTTATGACTCATCAGAAATCTTTTATATCATCCCACCTATGAAACAAACACTAATATTATATAACTTGAGAGTTACATGCCTTAGAAATAAAAACAGATACAAATTACTCATTTGATATTGGTATTCATGTTGTTTCAACTGTTTTACTGTAAAGTTAATTTAGCTCATCCATGTTTTTTGCTCTCTAGAGATACATTGACCCCCAAGATGATTTATTTGAATATCAGTATGACGACAAAGTACCATTAAGTATGACAGAAGATAGGCAAGAGTATAATATTGGTGTCTTAAGACACCTGCAAGTTATATTTGGTCATTTAGCTGCTTCTCAACTACAATACTATGTGCCCAGAGGATTTTGGAAACAGTTCAGGTAAATAATGGGTGGATGATCATTTAAGTTTTATAAAAATCACCAAACAGTAACTGTAAACTTACAAAGTATATGTAAGAATATTTAAATAAGTCAGTTAATTAGTTAAGGGTAGTACTCCAACTGTTCTTCTTAAATCAGTTTTTTATTAGAGCCCCAGTCAAGTCATAAAATTTGCCAAAGAAAGCCAATACTCTTAGTCAGTGTTTTATTTTATAAAACATATAAATAGAGCAAAATGAAATGTTAAAATGTAATTATCTCAATATAACAGATTAGATTTGAACTGACACAAATGTATAGACTACATAGATTTTGAACTGACACAAATATTTTTTTTTTTTTTTATTTAAGAGGAAAAAGAGAAAAACACAAAACAAACCAAAGCAGCGTAAGGGTACACGCAATACAGAACTACAAAACAAAACAAAACAAAACACCATAACAGTAAGAAATTACCTGCTAGTAGATTACACACTATTTTCTTGAAAATAGTTCCTCAAATCACAGTATCAAAGAACACAAGGTGGACATTCAAACAGGGAGACTGCAAACAGCTGTGTTCAATGTTCCAAAAACATTGATAAAGTCAGCTATTTAACACCCCCAAACACACTTGCTGTTATATCCGTTAGAGCTCTTTTTCTTTTTTTTTTTCCCTCTCTTTTTTACAACAAAATTTACACATCTTGGATTTTATTACTCCTTAGTGCTTATTACTTTCTTTGGGGGGGGGAAGAATACAGTCAAATATGGCAAAACAAAGCTGTCAGTCAATACCAAGGATAGACATAGCACATGGTGTAGAACAGAGTACAAGTTTATCAACAATGGTTATCAACGTTGTCCCTTGTTTCCTTAAAAAGAATTGTCTATCTTATTAGATATTATAAAGTTGGACAAAACGGTAGAGAACAAGACCAATAAAACTTAGGCATTGTAAACATTACAGGACTTCCAAAGAAGACAATAGTCAAACCAGAATGGGTATCTTAGTGAATCTTATTGTCTTCAAAGTAGTTGCCTATGTGAACTGACACAAATATATAGACTACATATTGTCATTTATGTGTCTCTGACATTTTTAATAAGCATGACTATAATATAATAAAGCTCGTTAGTGTCATTAAACCATCCCCATCATTATTCAAATTTATGCCATTGTTTTATTTTCTAGTATACCATGATACTTAAAAAGCATAGTCAGGACCTACTCATATTTAATTATTTATCTCTGTTTTCTAATTTCATTTGTTAATTCACGTTTAGGTACATAACTTACACATTTCTTGTGTGAAGTGGTACATGTATATAGCACATGTTAATTCTTTTTTTATTCCTTTCTTCCTTTTCTGTCCATGTTCATCTCTTGATTTCTTTCCCATCTGAGAAAGACCTATCTCCCTAATATAATTCCTATTTTCTATTTTTGTTTAGCTCTTCGCAGTTTCTTAAGAGAAACAATTCAGTAATTAAGCTTCCTTGTCTGACGTATTTCACATAACATTATGACCTCAAGGTGCATCTGTTTTGCTACAAACAACACAAATTTATCTTTCCTTTTGACAGTGGAATGCTGTATTATATGTAATTTGCTTTTAATATTAATGTTTTTCAACCAGTTTAAATCTGTTAATACAGTCTTAGACCGCATACAATCACAGAGAGTAGTGTAGATTTTCTCATAGTTTGATTTAGACGTTTACTAATATGTGGTCAGGAGGCTTTATCCTACTCAATACAACAAAATCAATTCTGTCTCTGGGAAGAATAATGGATAATGATTTTATTTCTGATGGGAGGAACAAAATAATTGAATTAGAATGACTTTCATATGTAATACCATTATCTTTTTTCAGATCTGTGTCCTAATAAATGTTTTGCTCTCCTGTTTTCCTATTTCTTCTCCTTTTCTTCTCCTTCTCCTTTTCTTCTTTCTTATGGAGTGGTTTATTTTACCTCACTTGAGTTGTTTTCTTGCCCTAGTTTATTGCATCTCTCTCTTAGTCAAGATTTTTTTTAGCATTCTAACCATCATTCTGTTCTTTTTTATATTTCTCATTTTGTTCTTTTTTATGTTTCCCTAACATACTGAAGTTTTTTCCACAACCTTTCTCTCAAGTATCTGTGTGTGGTTGCATGTGTGTGTAACAACTATATAATAATTACGTTCATTAAAAATAATAATTACATTCTTTATAATTGGAGTACAAAATCCATACATAATGTGTTTAGCTGTATATATGCAACTATATCTACATAGTTTTCTTTTACATTATTTGTATTTAGATATATTCATTTATAAGGCATATTTACTTATATGTAATATATTTACTTTTTGTCCTAGATATTCCCTCTACCCATGCTAGGACTCAAAAATCATTGTCTACATTTGTATAACCATCACTGTAGTATTCTTAGTATTTTTAGTATGTTTTTCTTAGTATGTTCTTCTTTTGTAACAAAATTTATGATTATAAGCATTTAAAAGCACTTCAGTGACATTTGATACTCTCAAAATATTTATGCGATCATTTTCTAGTTCCAGAACATTTTATCACCCACAATAGAAGCTGTACACTACCATCATTCCCTAGTATCCTCTTCTAATCCTGGCAATAATAAGTTAGACTTTTCTGTACATGAACTGTATATTTTGAATAGTTTATATAAATCAACATTTATTTTGATACATAGCTAGAAATATAATAGATGAGTCATATAATTCTAATTCTGTGCTTAACTTCAAAGAACCACCAAATTGATTTGTAATCTCCAGTATATGCATTTTAGTTTTTTGTTAGCAATTTTAAAGAAATACATTCTGTCGATATTCTCAACACTTGATTACTCCGCCCACCTCACCCCTCACCAACCAATTCTTTTAATTATAACTATCTGATTTCTAGATGTGAAGATCTCATTATAGACTTGCTGTCATTTTTCCAATGAATAGTAGTGTTGAGTTGCTTTTTTTTTTTTTTTTTTATTTAAGGAGAAAAGAAAAGAAAGAAAAAAAAAACAGTGAAAGGGTACAAGTTATACAGAAGAAAGAAATGCGCAGTAGGAAATCGCTAGTTAATGGATTACATATTGCCATCTTAGAAATAATTGTTCAAGTCACAAAATTAAAGCTTGTAGAGTGGACATTCCAACAATGATACTGCAAACAGTTCTGTTCAATGATCCAATAAAACTCTGTGATATCATTTTCTATCTTATACACTTAAATATACATGCAGTTATATAGTTTAGAGCACTTTCTTTTCCTCTCTTTTGTACAGTGACTATTACACATTTCATTGCTCCCACGGTTCTTATTGCTTTTTTGGAAGAGAGTAAAACCAAATGTGACATAACAGAACAGTATCGGTCAAGTCAAAAGGGTGGATATAATAGATAATATAAAAACATAATACAAGGTGATCAACAATGGTTACCATAATGCCTCCCGCTATTTCTAATAGAATTGCCTATATCAATAGTTGTAATACAATTGAACAAAACCGTAAAGAATAAAACCAACAAAACCAAAACATTGGAGATATTGTAGGTCTTCAAAAGTAGATAAAAGTCAACGAGAATGGGCGTTATAATGAACCTCATTATCTTCTCAGCTGATGCCTAAACTTTCGAACCTGATACTATCCAGCAAAACAGAATAGAGGAACCTCAGTCAAAAACAAGATGGTGAGAGTAATACAGGGCTTCAAATCGAGATAATAGAAAGTCAAAGTGGGTTACTAGATTATATCCTGCTATATTTTCCCTTTAATTAAATGGATAAAAATAAAAAAGTAAATAATGGAGTGGAGATTGAGAAAAAAAGAGGGCATAACAGCGAAACAGGGCAGATCAAAACATAACCATTTAAGCAGAATAGTGTTTCACCACCAGATAATCCTGACCCAAAAATAGTTACCATATTGACTCCCTCCCTGAAGTCCTTGAGTACAACTTCATATACTGTAGCATTAAGCATATCAAAACAATGTAATACCATTTAAGAGAATGACAGCATTATAGAGTATTTAGAATCGACTAACAGAAAATGAACAGTGGTCTCTGTATAATCTCCTTGTCTTTAAAAGGTTTTTGCTTATACTATCGTACATAACAAAATCCAATAAGATACAACCTGTTTAGACCATTGGAGACAGAAGAACAAAAGCTAGATGAGACTTCAAAACAAGATGGTACTAAATCAGCATTACCTATTAAGATGTCATTTTCTCCAAAAAAAGCTGTTCCTATCATCCAATCTTCTCTGTCTCATTTCTGTTGAGCTCTTTTTCTGTCAGTAGCTGTCAGTTTGTCTTCTTCATTTTGTTCTCTGCTCCATTCGTTGTGGCCTCCCCGCCACTATTTCTGGGTTCTTTGTATTTTTCTTTTTTTAGAATATCCTGCAATACTTTCTGTAGGGTTGAATTGGTGGTTGCAAATTCCCCCAGTTCCTCTTTATCCTCGAAGCACCTCGTTTTTCCATCAATTTCCAGGGACAGTTGTGCAGGATATCTCAATCTTGGCTGGAGATTATTATCTTTCAAAGCTTGAATTATTTCCCCCCACGCTCTTCGTGATTTGATGGTTTGTGCAGAGAAATCTGCTGTAATTCTGGTGGGTGTTCCCTTGTAAGTGGTCTGTTTCTTGTCTCTGACAGCTTTTAATATTCTGTTCTTGTATTGAATTTCTGGAATTTTTATTATTATATGCCTGGGTGTTGCTCTGTTTGGGTTGTAGATGGCTTGGGTTGTAGATGTATGCCTCATACATCTGAATATCTTTACCTTTTGCTAACTTAGGAAAATTCTCCTGGATTATTTCTGTGAGTAGCTTTTATAGCTCATTTGTTTGTGTCCCTACTTCTTCTTTTATGTTCTTAATTCTTAAGTTATGGATCCTCTTATCATCTTCTAGTCTTTGTATTATTGCTGTTTGTTTCTTTGTTACTTTTAAGAAGTTTTTCGTTTCATTCTCGCATATTACAAATCTGCCCTCCAGTTCAGATAGTCTGTCCTTAGTTTCTTTCAAGCTATTATGCCAGTCTTGGATAGACTTCTTAATTTCTTGATAGTCCCTTTGAACCTGCTTCACATACTCAATGCTTTCTCTGTTTTCTCCATCAAGCAATTCTCCCTTCTTTTTCTGTTCTTCCATTCCACCATCTGCTTTTTCCTGGGTGGTGCTTAGCATTTCTCTAACTATTCTGCATACTTCTAGCTTCAGGTCATTGATAACTTCATTCCTGAATTGGTCTATGAGGCTCTCTATATGGCGCTGAATGTATATTGGTGCGGTGTCCACTATTGCCTGATTCTCAGGATTGGGGGCCGAGGAGCCTTTTTTGTTGCTTCCCTTCCCCATATTTTCTGTTCCTTATAAAATGCAATCTTACAAAGAATGCCCGGCTTCCCTGCCTGTCAGCCACAGCCTGATCAAATTGCGCTGGCTAGTTGTTCCCGCCCACCGCTGCGCCCCAGGGAGTTGTGGAGGAGGCAGCCTACGGGGAGTCGGTCACTCCTCCGGGCCACCATCAGGCTCTGGGATCTGGGTTAGGCCAGCCTAGGGAGTCCGCCAGCAGCGTCACCCAGGCCAGGCACTTTTCACCAATCCCGTCCGAGAGGGGAATGTGTGGCTGGAGTTGCCACCGGGCCCTGCTCTTACAGGACTGCCTGAGCCCAGAAACACCTCCGCTGGAGTCAAACTGTGGTAGGAGGTAGTTTCTCTCTCACCTCGCCACCAGTCAGTTTTCGTGTACGCCTCCTTGTCCGTCCTGTTTCCGACTCCATTCGCAGACTCCTGTTCCCAGAGCTCGGCGCATCTCTCCTTGCCGAGCCGCTGTGGAGGCAGCCAGCCGCCGGGCGGCGGGAAACCCAAATTGCGGTTTCCAATGGCGCTGGGTTGAGCCTCCACACCGAGACTTTTCTGTTCCTATTTTAGCGCCAGGACTGTATTCTAAGTTGGATTCTCTCAGCCCAGTTCGTTCCTGAGTCAGCAGAGCATATCTCTACTGGTTCGTATCTCCTTAGTCCGCATCATTCCTGGCCTCTGAGCCGAGCCTTTCAGAGAGCCTTCAGTAGTTGCTGTTGTCTGTCCGCCATGTTCTCCCAGAGTCCCCTGAGTTGCTTTTTTTATTTTCCATTTGTGTACTTTTAGAGAAGCATCATAACCAGATTTTTTCTTAGTTATTTTTGGTCTGTATTTTTGTTATTGTTGTATGTATTGAGTTATTACAAATTTTTGAGTTGTTATAAATTTAGAAATATACCCAACTAGGGATGTAACTCAGTGGCATAGTGTCTGCCTGGGGAAAGATAGGTAAGAAGACTCATACTTTGTGATTCCAACACTTACTTAGATCTAGCAGTTAGTATGACCCTGGTGTACGACAAGTACGTCAGTGAGGTAGAATGAAGGCTGCAGTGATAAACTCAACATTTGGGGGTAAATGATACATTACAGAGGCACCAAGGCCAGTGGTAGAACTACAAATCATATGAAAAGAAGGACATATAACTAATAGCATATGTAATTACAAACAAATAGACCAAAGATCTAAATGTAACAGAAAAGTGAAACTAGAAAATAAACAAATCTTTACGACATCGTAGGCAAAGACAATAAAAAAACAGGCAGATTGGACTTAATGGAAATTTTTAAAAGATGTGTATATCAAAAAACTCACTCATTAGCCAGACATAGTGGTGCGTGCCTGTCATCCCAGCATTTAGGAGGGCGAGACAGAAGAATCCTTGCAAATTGGAGACCAGCTGGGCTGCAAAGTGAGCTCAAGACCAGTCTGAAATGCAGATGAAGACCCTGTCTCCAAAATGAGGAGGGGGAGGGGGCGGGGGGAGGAGGAGGAGGAAGAGGAAGAAGAGGAAGAAGAAGAAGAAAAAGAAGAAGAAGAAGAAGCCACCAAAAACAAAAACTCATTGGGAAAAATTATCCACTGAAATATCTGGCCCAGAACTACTACACCCTGGGTCAGGGTTGTAGCTCAGTGGCATAAGCATCTGCTTGGCAAATGCAAGGCTCTGAGTTTGATTCCTGGTACCAAAAAACAAAAAAACTAGTGCAAGAACAAACCAATTCAAAAATGAGAAAAATGAGCAAAGAATATTAGTACAGATAGTTGATCAGTTGAATGAAGAGAATTTATTCATATCACTATTGACAAGGAAATTATGACAAAAATAACAATAAATGTGAAAATGGAACATCTGTGAACTGTTAGTGGTAACACAAAATGATAAGCCTTTGTGGGAAAACGAGATGACGATACTTAAGATTTTTATACATGAATAGTTCCCAGGATCTATGGATAGGTATTTTTGAGGAAGTTTTATGGAGTAGATTTTCAAGTTTGTTGTTTGTTTATTTTGAGTTATTACAGATTTAGAAATATAATGTCTCCAACTGGCAGTGTAACTCTAAATGGATTGTGATGAAAGTTGGGTGACAAAATGAAGTTGCTTGATGTTGCAGGGCTGTGCTTTAAAAAGGAGGTACAATGTTAAGCTTCATGTTTGCTATGTTAACCACGGTTCTTTTAAAGTTGATGGTCTTATGAAATTTAATCAATGTCTTTTTAAGTGTGGATTTAAAGTTGAATAAACACTCTACGTGCAGCTTTGGTACAAATTTCCACTCTGTATTAATGAAGCTAATACACTGATATGTTGCCCTTTCATCACTTGCAATGCATGTTTCTTTCTTGTTGGTCACATTAATCTATATTGACATGTAACTCATAAAATGTCTTGTTTTGCAAATAATCCAATTTTTCTCAGTCTGCCTCTCTACACTTTGCTTCATAATTAAGTTTGTAAACTACATTTGCCTTTTTATGTGTCATATTTAGACCTGTTAGTTTTAAAGGCTAAGTACTTAAGTGTTAGGTGTACTTTTCCTTTTTTTTTTTTTTTTTTAGAAAAGCAGGAAAAACTAAATCTGTTTAATAGCTACTTATGCTCATCTTAAAAAAGGCTACTCTAGACTGATAGAAAACAAATAGTGTTGCCAGGAATTAATGTTAGAAAAAGGGTTATCCCTGTAATCACAACTACGCAAGAGAAAGCAGGAAGATTATAAGTACACGGCCAGCCTTAGCAACTTAGCAAGAGCCCATGTTATAGCTCAGTGGAAATGTTCGGTGTTCATTACAGTTATCTCCATGATCTCCTAGTTCGTTTTGTTTTTCAGAGAGAACTAATGGATAGTATCTTAGTACAACTTACCATTATTGTAAATACATGCTGTGCACTGAGTGATTTTTTTACTTTCTATAAATATAAAATTTAATCATTATAGTAACAAAAATTTTCAGTAATGTAAGTTCACTACAAAAGAAAAAAAATGAAGCCAGGTATGGTGACACACACCTGTAATCCCAGCATACAGGAAACTGAGGGAGGAAAATCACTATTGAGTATGAGACCAATCTAGACTATATAGTGAATTCAAAGCCAGCCTGAACTTCATAGCGAGACCTGTCTTCAAAAAAAAAAAAAAAAAGAAGGTGGGGGTGAAATGCCCCTCTTGGCAAGTTTAAAATATTATTATGTCTTTTTACTAAAATGATGTATTGTGATGTGTTATTCTGTAAACGTTAAATATTCTTGAACATTTTCACCACAATTAGTATTGTATCATTATAAATTCTTGTTTTTTTAATATACATAGTCGATACCTAGTTACTGCGATATAATCACCTAAATTTTAAAATCAGTTGTATTACTGAAAATATATTTACGTTAAAATAGAGGTTTAAATCTTGTTGTTTTCACTTGATTTGGGCTTTTCTGTTTTGTTTTGTTTTCTGGTTCTGTGAATCAAACTCACTACCTTGTGCATGCCATACAGACAGTTAATCCTACTGAGCTATATCCCCAGCTTTCCTTTCACTTGGAAAAGACTCTGTAGTTAGGAATAAAGTGATAATTTTCACTGTATCACTTAAAATTTAAACAAATTTATATATAAAAGTAAGTTACAAAATCCATGTTAGAGTTTGTCATGTAGAAGATACTACTTGAATTGAAATGCATAAATATATTTCATAAAACAAATATTCTATTTATCTTAATCATATCATCTTAACTAAGCTGCACTATCATTTTCTGCTCACTTCCTTTCCATTCTACATACATAAGATTTACTGGTTTATTTCATCTTCCTCGACAAATGGACACATTTTCAGCTCTGATTTTTGTCATTCTGGTGGTAGGAATTAAACATATTGATGATTCATACATTTATTTTATTTTGGTTTGTAAACTTTGAGATTGTGTTATTTTACTTGTTTTATTCTGTTTCACAGGCTTTGGGGTGAACCTATCAATCTCTGTGAGCAACATGATGCCTTAGAGTTCTTTAATTCTTTGGTGGATAGTTTAGATGAGGCTTTAAAAGCTTTAGGACATCCACCAATGATAAGGAAAGTCCTAGGAGGCTCCTTTGCAGATCAAAAGATTTGCCAAGGCTGCCCACATAGGTAAGCAGTAATTATGTTTAAGGTATGCTTTCTGCTTTTTATGAATGCAAATAAAAATTTTATATGTTTATATTCTTCCTGTCAAACAGTGCAGTCAGGCCATGATGATGGTATAGGTTATAATTCTGGTTACTGAGAATATGGAGGCAGGAGAGTCACAAGTTCAAACTGATACTAGGCAATTTAGCAAGACCTCTTCTTTTTTGATACCAGGAATCAAACTCAGGCAAGCACTGTGCTGCTGAGCCATATACCCAGTTCATAAAAACTTTATGTTTTACAGAGAGCAGAGTATGCTGATTTTAAACCCGTAAGGCTATGGATTTATGTTCATACGAAATACTATTCTGTTTGATTTTATTTTCCCCCAGTTATATTTGATTCTTTTCACTGATTTGTTATTTCCAAAGACTAATGTGACATTTTCCTTCCAGGAACATACTTATAATCCCATTGTTCAGGAGGCAGGAGAATTGCTTTGAGTTCAGGGTCAGCTTGAACTACACGGCAAGGCTTTGTCTCAATAATGAAAAAAAATGGCACTTCCCAAACATGTATAATTACGGGTAAAAATCATGTAGTTATTGTAATTAAAATAGTTATTGTTTTAGTATAATGTAAGTTTAAAAGGTGACTGATAGGGCTGGGGAGTTAGCTCAGCAGGCGGTCATGAGATCGATCCCTGGTACTGATAAAAATGAAAAAGACAAAAAAAAAAAAAAAAGGTGACTGAGAAATGGAAAATTCTTTCCCACGCAGAATAAATATTTGAATATGTTTACTCTCCATGGGAAAGAAACTGGCCAAGCATGATTCCTACAATTGTTAATGCCAGTATTCTGGGAGGCTAACACAGGAGAATTACAGATTTAACCATAAGCAATTTAGTTACTTAACAAGACCCTAATTCAGAATAAAAAAGGGCTGAGGATATAGCTAAGTGGTACAGTGTATGCGTAGCATAAGATAAGGCCCCAGTTCAATGCCTATTACTGAGGAGAGAGTTAAAAATTCAAATTAACTGCATACAAGCTAAACTGTTAAATGTTTTAGGATTATATGAATTACAAGGCTTTGTGGTTTTAGAATGTTGTATTTTTCTGGAACATCTATCAGACAAAAATATAAAATACATATTTTAATGTACTATATTTACATACATATGTACATATGTACATATACATACATATGTGAATTTTCTAGAGCATCAGTCAGACATACATGTTGGTATGTTCATTTGAGTATGTGAATTTTTAAGTTGTCTTAAAAGGCTTTATCTTTTATCATATGATGAATTGCAAAAGCCATTCTTAACAGTTTCATTTTTGTAACTTTTTCTTGTACCTAAAATGAAAATTTCTAAATGAGAGGGATTATATTGTAAACACAGTAACTGCTTGTGCTTACATCTGGTAGATGCATCTTAATTAGTTTGGATGATTGAGAATGTATTCTTTTGATCTAATTTTTTGTGAATCATGAGAAATTTTAAAGTTACTTTTGTAATAGTTCCCCTCAATATAGAGTACCTTTTCATTGTCACATTTATGAATTTTTGGTCTGTATTTGTTTTTTGGATATATAGAACATAACATACTAGGCTTAAAGAAAATTTATATGTGAAGGTACATGTTTGTAAAGCCTCTAAAGCGGAGACATGTTTTTAAATGCACCTTTTTAATAGAAAAGTCATTTTTCTGAACTTATTGAACCTCTGTCTTTATTGTAGCATGAGTTACTATTTAAAGAGATGTTAGGAAGACAGCCATACAAACATGACTTTTCAAGCATCGTTGCCAACTGGAACCAAATTATTCTACCTTCTTCCCCAACCTGTTATTTATCTTCAAATTAGGAATAGATAGAAACACTGCTTGAATGTATATAAAGAATCTAATAGAATGCCCAATGCAAAATAAATGACTGATAAAGATACTATTACTTAATAACATCTTATGGCTGATGAAGTTTGTTAGGATATTAAATGTTGCAAATATATTTTTCATCAAATTACAGTTCAAGATAATGTTTAGAAATTTAAGGGTCCTTTCTATCTTTTCTTAATATCTTCAGGTATGAATGTGAAGAATCTTTTACAACTTTAAATATAGACATTAGAAATCACCAAAATCTTGTTGATTCTTTGGAACAGTATATTAAAGGAGATTTACTGGAAGGTGCAAATGCGTATCATTGTGAAAGGTGTGATAAAAAGGTATGAAGTATACAATTTTCAAAATCATTGCTGTATTTGTACTTATCAACATAGTTGACCTCTGATTTGTTATGGATGCAAAAGGGTAATGACAGTGATTATTTATTTAAAGGTATGTTAATGAAGGAATACTGAGGGATAACAGTTGTACAACTAATTTATCAATTTTTAAACTGTTTTGGAAATCACAGTAGGTTGTCATTTTATTCTCAGAGTTTTAACACTTACATAAGTAACTTTTTTTCTGCCTTCTGAAATAGATTGCTGTTAAATGGAATTTTAAGGTGTTGATAGTAGAAAACATTCTTTCATACTCCAAGTTACTGTTCAAGCCTAACAGATTTGCTCATTTTATTTAATTGCAGATTTCCACAGCATATATGGTTTAAGCAATTTTTAGGTCCAGCTAGTTAATTTCATCTCTGAGTGTGGTGTGGAATAGGATATCTGTCAAAATTGTACATAGTTAAATAATACATCTTTTTCTCAACTCTAATGTCCTCTTACCTCCAACTTCCCTACATTGTCTTCATCTTAAACACTGGATTGTATTCTGCATGACTGTATTGCTTGCCACCCACAATACTTGGAACAATTCCTTCTTACCCTGTTACAGTCAGTAACTATTTCAAGGGGAAGTGGCACTAAAATATACTAATAAATGGGCAGCCACTAGAGAATTAACTAGCATATAACTCCGTGAATACTTGCTTTTATTATTGCTTAGATTATTTCTTGGGTTTACTTACAATATGCTATTTTCTTCGGTATAAAAGTAAGCACCAGCTAAGCTTGGTGGCCCACACCTGTAATTCCTGGGAGGATGACGTGGTGGTTTACTGTCAGTTTGAGGCTATCCTGCACTACATATTAAGATGCTACAAAAGAACTATAAAAGTAAACATCAAAGGGATAGTATCATAAAGAATGACAATGTGGAATCAGGAATAAATAAAAATCTGTTTTCATATCTCAAGGCTTAGTAAACATTTGTTGGTGGGGATGGTTTAGTGGGGATCGAACTTATTACCACATGCCTGCCTGCAAGACAGGCACTTATGCCACTGAGGTAAATCTCTGCCCTTTAGTAAACATTATTTGAAAGTCAGTTGATACATAATTACCCTGGTTGTCTTCAGTATCATTTATATATCTGTTTATAAATAAATTTAAATACATCGTGAACTTTTAGTAATAGATTTTATGTGTGACTTGAGTTACAATGTTACCTTACATTGTTTGTTGTAGGTTGATACAGTAAAGCGCTTATTAATTAAAAAATTGCCACCAGTCCTTGCCATTCAACTAAAAAGGTTTGATTATGACTGGGAAAGAAAATCTGCAATCAAATTCAATGATTATTTCGAATTTCCACGAGAAGTAGATATGGAACCTTACACAGTAGCAGGTGTTGTGAAGCTGGAAGGAGATAGTATCAACCCAGAGAGTCAGCTGATTGAACCAAATGAAGAATACGAAAGTGAGGTAGCAGGAAGTACAAAATACAGACTTGTGGGTGTGCTTGTACACAGTGGCCAAGCAAATGGGGGACATTACTATTCTTATATCATCCAAAGAAATGGTAGAGACAATGAGAAAGATCGCTGGTACAAATTTGATGATGGAGATGTAACAGAATGTAAGATGGATGATGATGAAGAAATGAAAAATGAATGTTTTGGTGGAGAGTACATGGAGGAATTATTTGATCATATGATGAAGCATGTGGCGTACAGACAGCAAAAAAGGTGGTGGAATGCTTACATACTTTTTTATGAACGAATGGACACAGTTGATGAAGATGATGAGATAAGATATATATCAGAACTCTCTATCTCAAGACCCCTTATGTCACCATCCATTGAGAGAAGTGTATGCAAACAAAATATGGAATTCATGCATAACCAAATGCAGTATAGTTTAGAATATTTTCAATTTGTGAAGAAACTACTTATGTGTAATGCTATTTATTTAACCCCTGTTCCAGGTAAGTGTCTGTCAATTAGCCTATTAATATATAATAATTCTTATTTCACTTGTAGGATTTGTACCAGAATCAACCTTTGTTTAAATCTTTCTGTTGTTTATCTTTTTTTCTTCCTTCATATCTTCATTAAACTATGTGAACATACCAGCATTTTCATTTTATGTTTTAAAGTGAGATACCATTTGAATAAACTGTGATTTAACAACTGATTTAAATAAAATGCTTGCTTTCCTTAAAAAAATTAAATTGAGCCAGGGATTTAGCTCAGCAGTGTAAGTGCCTGCATGGCAAACGTGAGGTCGTGAGTTGATCAATGACAGCAAAAAAAAAAAAAAAAAAAAAAAAAAAAAAAAAAAAAAAAAAAAAAAAATTAAGATAAAGTATATCTGAACCTTTTAATGTAACATTTATAAAATAGAAGAGCTTGTTATACTGTTTTTGTTTGTTTGTTTTAGCAAACTTTAGTTTTAAACATAGTTTAATAAGGTCTTAAGATATAATCAGTAAACATTACCTTTGTCTAAAGAATTTTTTGTTAGGAATTTAGCTGTATGTTTGCTTTTTTATTTAAAGGACAAGATCACTTGTTGCCTGAAGCAGAAGAATTCACCATGATCAGCATTCAGCTTGCTGCCAGATTTCTCTTTACAACTGGATTTCACACCAAAAGAATAGTCCGTGGCCCTGCCAGTGACTGGTACATGGCTTTGGGAGTTTATTTGACTTTTTGTTACACTCAACACATTTTTCTTTCATTATGAGAATGTTGTTTTAAATGTCAAACATGAAATAAAAATTTGTTGGCACTGGGAAATAGCTTACCAAAGTTGTATACTATAAATATGACTTTTATTTTTAAATGAACTTATTTTTGTTATAGCACATCATTAGTCTCTTTTATCAATAAAATAATAAGCTTTATCTTAACTAAAGTCTCATCTAAAATGAAAAAGATTTTTAAATGACTGTTCTTAAATTATTAGTAATTTTTTAAATTATTGGTAATTTTTAAGAAATAGTGATTACAGTATCTTGATTTAGCCAACCTGACAACATCATTTACAGTATAAAAAATGTTAAGGAAATGTCACTGCTTGAAGAACAGTTTGAGAAGAGATTTGTGGAGACCTCCACATATTCTCTTCAGATTATTTTGAAGCTATGTTTATAGAGATCTAGTTAGGCGGCTTCATCAGAAACTTTTTCAATCAATATGGCAGCTCAAATAAGCATATTAATAAAAATTTATAATCATAGATATTTCTATTTTAGGTATGATGCACTGTGCATTCTCCTTCGTCACAGCAAGAATGTACGTTTTTGGTTTGCTCATAATGTACTTTTTAGTGTGTCCAATCGTTTCTCTGAATACCTTCTGGAATGCCCTAGTGCAGAAGTGAGGGGTGCATTTGCAAAACTTATAGTATTTATTGCACACTTTTCCTTGCAAGATGGTTCTTACCCTTCGTCTTTTGCATCTTCAGGACCTTGTAACCAGGTAATTGCACAACTTCTATGTAGTAAACACCTGAAAGTAAATTCTATTTTTGCAAAGTTAGATGTGTACAACTTTGTGTCTGTGTTTGAAGTGCAAAGAGAATGTAAACATAAATACTTTATGGTTTCTACTTGTAAAACTTACATGCTTATTAGGCATTTTGTTTGTTGTTGGTTTGTTTTCTGAGACAAGGTCTGATTATGAAATCCAGGCTGACCACAGATGTAAAGCAATCCTGCTCTAGGATCTTACATGCTGGGATTACAGGTGTGCAGCATACCACCTAGCTAATGAGAACTTTGATAAAGAAATATGCTGTTCACTTACTTTCAGTTCAATAAATTTGAAGGTTCTGTAAAAGATTTCATTAACAGCTTAATTTACAGCCTCTGTTAAATAGTTAAGTGTAAAAAGTACAGCAAACACATTGTAGCAGTATGAAGGATCTAAAAACTTGTTCTTTTAAAGAACTACTAGATTTATTAATTCATTTCTGAAATTTTTACAAGTGACCATGACTTTCTTTATGCAAAGAAAAATGTATTGTTTCTGCATGTTATTGCTGATGACACAACTTTTACTTCTCACAGATTGGTGATAACTTGAGCTTGAGTGATCATTTACTAAAAGCAGTATTAAATCTTCTGAGAAGAGAAGTTTCAGAACATGGGCGTCATTTACAACAATATTTCAATTTGTTTTTAATGTATGCCAATTTAGGTAAGAATATTTCAGCTAACCCTTATGTCAGTGATTGTTTCATATTTGCATATTAATGATAAAAACTTTGTAGCAAGTGTGGTACATCTTAAAAGGATTGCAAATTTTTGGTATAACTTTTCAGTGGCAGTTTCCATTTTGTACCGTTAGGTAATCTATACACTTAATTTTTCCCTATGGTAGTCATTAAGGTCAGATTTTGTGTGTAATCCATGTTTTTTTAATCCCTAAACCCCTTTTTTGTTTGTTTTTTTGTTTTGTTTAGTGGAAATCAAACTTTGTGCTTGCCAGGCAAATTCTTGTGCTGCTGCACTATATATCCCTGGCCCCCACTAACTCCTATTGAATTTGAAAACTGGTGGTTTCCTAATCATGTTTCTTATCATTTAATTCAGCATTCACTTTTTTCTATACAGATACTAAAAGGTTGTTATTCTTTTCAGATTTACAGTCACTTCCCACAGAATTTAAGAAAACACCATATGTCATTGTTCAAGGAAATTAAATTGAAATAGCTGGGAATTAAATAATACCCTTAAATCTGTTAATTTTCAGGACTAATAATATCATTTTCAACATATCCTCAAAGTAGTGGCTTTTTCTCCCATAATTTAAACATTTCTCTTTTTTCCCCTCAACGGAGTCAGACTGGTTTACCTCAAAAATCATAGTTTGCTTATATTAGTATATTTTGAAAGTTTTAAAATTGTATATAATATGCTTATACCACTTTTTTCTTCTTGGCACCATTGATCAAGCTTGTGACCTTGTACTTGCCAGGCAGGCACTTATGCCACTAAGCTAAATCCCAAGCCCTGTACCAATGTATTTTCAAGGTTTTTAAATTTTGTATCTTTCTGTCAACTAGAATTCAAAATTCTTCTCAGGCATTACATAAATATCAAGTGTCCCTTTTAAGATACTGATTCTCTAAAGTAGTTCTGAAAGTTCTCTTTTATAAATATCTTTAAGAGATACTGTCAGAAATATAGTGAATGCACTCCCGAATAGCATTAACACAAAGGCAGGCTCCTGAAAGCACTGGAAAATGTTCACCTTATTTATGTGACTTTTTCCAAAGTCAAAATAGTCAAGGAAGATGCCTACTTTGGATCATTTTAGAATATAGAGGCAGCCACAACAGAACAACCAAAGACAACTCATGAAAGAACTTCCAGTAGCAAAAATAATGGCATTATTGTATTCAAAGTGAGGAGGATTAATCTAAAGGAAATTAATGGCAGTTTTGCCTAATTCCATAATTTTAAAAATACAAACACACAGTATGTTTTAATCAGATCTCACAGATCAAAAATGATTTTTTTACCTTCAGAATTTTTTTTAGGTAGTTAGTTGCCTTTGGGTGAAGAATTTCTATTTGTTACAGGTACAGTTACAAAATAGAAAAGTATGATTTAAGCATTTGTGCCCCAGCACTTCAAATTACATATTCAATTAAAATCTTAGCAACATTAGAAGACATTTGGTCGGATTTTTATGAGAAATAGGAAATTAGCCAGTTGTTCTGAATAATGCTTAAAATCATAGCTACATTGAGTTAAATTCTATAGTCACACATTCTTTTTATTTAAATTTTCTCTTTGTAAACTTGTTAAACAGCTATTAATCTGACTTTTCAACAGAAAGATTGCACCATCATCTCTTCATTCAGCTGTTATACTGCAATGCTTGCATTTTTAGATGGAAAAGATCTCACAACCAAACATTAATGAAATTTTTGTATGTAAAAAATACCAAGTATAACATGCATGTGTTCTTTTTATTTTATACATTTTTGACAGTTTTAGGAATTGAACTCAGGTTCTTTACTGTGAACTACATTCCCAACCTTTTTCTACTTTGGGACAGGGTATCACTAAATTGCTGAAGTACTTAATAATCTATCTTCAGCCTTCTAGTGTACTTGAATTACAAAACTGTGCCACCATGCTCAGTTTATAATTTCCATTTGAACTGCTTTCTGTCCATAAACTGCTAGACTATTGTATAATGTAATCAGAATTTCCCTTGCCAAAAACTATTTGTACATTAGTTTGTTGTTTATATTTTGGAGGATTATTTTTTTATTTTTTGGTTTGGATTTTTGGTTTGATTTGATTTGGGGGGGGTTATTGAGACAAGATCTCACTATATAGTTTAGAGTGACTTTGAACTCCTTAGGTTAGCCCAGGCTAACCTCAAACTCACCACAGTTCTCATAGCTCAGCCCACTGAGTGCTGAGTTTATTATTACATGGATGGGAGCACATGCATGCATTTTAATGTAAATCTTAATTCTAAATCTTTATGGGCATATATATTTTTACATTTAGAAACAGTAAATCAGTGCACTTGAAACAAATTCTATAATATCTTTGTTAGATATTCTATTTTATTATAACCATTATTTTATTAAAATAATATATTAAAAATAGTTTTTCTTCAAAAAGTAATAATAGAACTAGTATGATCCAGTTAGCTGTTAATCCATTTATTATGAGATTTTTTTTTTTTTTTTTTTTTTTTTTTTTACTAGTAGCAGGGATCAAACTCAGGACCCCGCACATGCAAGGCAGGCATTTATGCCTCCAAGCTAAATCCCCAGCCCAGTCCATTTAATATGAATCAGCTTGCAAATAGCTGTAATAGAGCAGTTCCGCTGCTGGCATGTACAAAGGAAAGAAAATTACCACATATGTCAGAAAGATACCAGTAAAATACATCCTTATAGCACTATTCATGTTGGTCAAATTACCAGAGCAACAGAAGTGTCTCAAGTGAGCAACACATGCTTACACCCTGAAATGATGGTTGACCTTTGAAAAAGAAATGTCATTTCAGACAAAAAGATAAACATGGAGTTACTGTTAGGGGTAAAATTCACCAGACACAAAAAATAATCTGATGCATGAATAGATTCTTAAAAAGGTATAAAGGGAAGGAATAGGAAAGAAAATCAGAGAAGAAATCTCAAGGCAAATAATGTTTAAAAAAAGAACCAAAGATCTGAGACCTCATTCTTAGCATGAAGTCAAGAAAGTTGAGACAGCAACTAAATAGAGATTAGAAATGAGAACATGAAAAACTAGGGGGCTTTTTTTTCCTAAGAAGTAAAAAAGAGACTGATAATTTCTAAAAGAATTGTTCTAAAAGTTTATTTTCTGTCCTACCTTGCAAGAATTGCTGTTTGGACAAAACTGTTTGTTGTAAAGCCCTAGAAATACATATCCCCTTTGGACCAATATAATTGGAATGCCAGAGTCATCGTTATTTCACAAGCCAGTTTGGTTTGGTATTTTAATTTTATTTTTGTGGTATTGGGGATTTAATCAAGGGCCTTCACATTGAGTTACATCTCAAATGCAGTTAGATGTGAGATGGTTTTGAGACAGACTTCGTAATTCGCTTCATTGCCCAGATTAGGCTGAAACTTGGGATCTTCCTGCCTTAGCCTGCAAGACTGTGAAGATTACAAGTTGGTATGGGCCACCACACTCAGTTACTTTCATTGTTATAATCTGCATGTTTTCTGTTCCATCTGCATTTCATCTCTTAATATTTTTAACCTGAACAGAGCACTTTACTCAGAATTTCTAAGCAGCTGTGATAGTTACTTGTTTAATATTGCAGCGTTACCCATTCTAAAATTTTTATACATATTGTTCTCTCCATTTTTTATAGGTACAGTGGAAAAGACACAACTTCTAAAATTGAATGTGCCTGCTACCTTTATGCTCGTATCTTTAGATGAAGGACCCGGTCCTGCAATCAAATACCAATATGCTGAATTAGGCAAATTATACTCAGTAGTATCTCAATTGATCCGTTGCTGTAGTGTCTCATCAAGAATGCAGTCTTCAGTCAGTGGTAAAATAGAGCGCTGTCTACTTTAATCACATTTTAAAAAAATTTTTTTTATTTTTTAGACGGTAGTAGGTTTGTATAGTAATTGATGGAAAGAGTTATAAAAATAGAGTAAAAGGCCCATGTTTTGGGGATATTTTTGAATTATTAGCTTTATTTATGTTTAAAAGAGATCTTTTCAAATTCAAATGCTGTAGTAATTACTTGACTTTGATGGTTGGTTTAAGAATTTTTAACCTTCTTTTTCTTTAGTTTTATCATATATTTCATCACTTTGTAGTTCTGGTCCTGTTAGTAAACTTTTTATTGGGCTTAGAAAATTTAAATCAAATATTATTTTTAAAAATCATAAATTTAGTATTATAATTGTCTAATTGGCTTATTGATGAATAATCTGTTCTAGGTAACCCTCCTCTTCCCAATCCTTTTGGTGACCCTAATTTATCACAGCCCATAATGCCTGTTCAGCAAAATGTGGTAGACATTTTGTTTGTGAATACTACTTATGTGAAGAAAGTTATTGAGGATTCCAGTAATTCAGAAGAGACCATCAAGTTACTTCAGTTCTGCTGCTGGGAGAATCCACAGTTCTCGTCTACTGTCCTCAGTGAACTTCTTTGGCAGGTTACAGAAAAATAAATAATCCTATGTTTGTAATTTTATTTACATTCTTTTAAATAAATAATTCACTATATTATCCCTGTTTTTAGGTTTCATATTCATACACCTATGAGCTCCGGCCATACTTGGATCTACTTTTGCAAATATTACTGATTGAAGACTCCTGGCAGACTCATAGGTAGACATTCTTGCTACCAATAGAATTACAGTTTCTCAAGTTCTGGAAATAGTTGCAAATACCACTACCAAAATATAGTTTTACTTTTTAGAATACAATTTAATGCTGTATCCTAAGTAATACTGTTATTTAAAAATTAATTACTAGCCTATATAAGTAGTTTTAAGAATATATGAGATCAAAATGATGAGAAAGGAGGCTAACCTCTTACAAGGCCTCTAAATATGCCCTAAAATTCCAGTGTGTTACTTATTGTAAAATTCAGTTTAAATGATGATATAGAACTTAGTGTCTATCTCTGTCAAATGATTCCGTCTTTTCTCTTTCTGGGAATGACTTTATAGTCATTTATTTTAAGAAACAGAAATGACACCAGCTATGGTGGCATATTCCTGTGCTTGCAGCACCCAGGAGTCAGATGTAAGAGAATCTATACAAGTTCAAGGCCACTCTGGGCTACATAATGAACTTGAGTTCAAGCTTCTCCTGAATTGCACAGTAGTATCCTGTCCCAGAACTAAAAGGAGCAATAAAAAACAAATAACTCCAGTTCTCTTAGTAGCTGACACAAGAGGATCACAAATTCAAGTTTAGCCTGGACAGCTTAACAATTTATCAAAACCGTAACTAGAAAAGGATTAAGGATGTACTCAATAACTTGAATTTAACTCCCTTACGACATAAGAAAAATGTGGAAGTATGCACATATCATCATTCATTAGTCACAGTAACCAAAAGAAAATCCCGAGAATAAAAAAGATTTTATAAAGATGTAGAATATTGTATTTAAACTATAACCTTCAGCTTCAGAGTACTGTGTAATAATAGTACAACAGAATAAATTATTTTTTTATTATTGGTACAGTTTAAGCATGCATAATGGTCACACTTCAGAAAATTTCTACCTGTATATAATACTGATATATTTATTTTCCATTCCCCTCCCCTTCCCTCCTACCCTAGCTCCCCTCCTTATTTTCAAAGCTTTCTTTCCTTTTTATTCTTCCTGGGGAATGGTCCAGGCACTTAGTTTCTCTGAACTCAGGTTCCTGGGGAGACAGTGGGGTATGCAGCAGGCTTTTCCAGACTCATGCAGCTACACTGAGGCTTTCCTGATGCCCATCACATGTGATGGTGGGGCTGCTTCTTCTCTCAGTCGGTATAACTATACCAGAACTCCCTCAGTGGCAGCAGGTGCATGCCATAGTTTTCTATGTAGATTGTTTCCTTTGTTAGATTGATTCCTAAGTATTTCATTTTTCTGGATGCTATTTTAAAGGGTATGGTTTTCCTAATTTCTCTCTGTGAGTTTGTTGCTTATGCACAGGAATGCTATGGATTTTGAGTGTTGACTTTGTACCCAGCTACACTACTGAACTTTGTTGGTGTCTTTTATGAAATTTTTAGGGTTTTGTAGGGTATGATGTCATGTGCAAAAGATGATAATTTAACTTATTCCATTTCTATCCTTATTCCTTTTGCTTCTTTCTCTTGCCTTAATTGCTCTGGCTAATGTTTCCAAAATTGTATGGAACAGGTATGCTGATAGTGAACATCTTTGTCTGGTTTTTGGGCTTTTATTTTTGTTTTGTTGTTTATTTTTGGTACTGGAGATTGAACTCAGGACCATGTACTTGACTGGCAGGCACTGATGCCGCTGAGCTACATCCTATGCCCCTTGTTTTGTTCTTGATTTTTGAGAGAAAGCTTTCAGTTTTTCTTTTCTTTTCTCTTCTACCCTCCCCTCCCCTCCCCTCCCCTCCCCTCCCCTCTCCTCTCCTCTCCTCTCCTCTCCTCTCCCCTCCCCTCCCACCTTCCCCTCTCCTCTCCTCTTCTCTCCTCTCTTCTCTTGTTTTTCTTTTCTTTTGAGACAGTGTCTTGCTGTGCAGTTCAGGCTGGCCTTGAGTTCACTTTGTAGTATAGGCTGTGCAGTTCAGGCTGGTCTCGGACTCGCAATCATCCTCCTGCCTCAGCCTCCCGAGTGCTGGTATTACAGGTGTGAGCTGCCACACCTGGCTCATAGCTTTCAGTTTTTCACATACCAACATTAAGTTGGTGTTGGCAGATTATCCTAGTTGGCTTTTATCACATTGAGGAAAAGGCCATCTACTCCAATTTTCTGTATAGGTTTGTAATCAAGAATCTGTATTTAACTTTGTCAAATGCTTTTTCTGCATTTGCAGAGATGATCATGATTCCTGTCTTTGGTTCTGTTGATATGGTATGTTACCTTTGTTGCTTTGTGTGTGTTGCATCATCTTCACATTCCTGAAAAACATCCTACTTGGTCATGGAGCATACTCTTGATAATTTATTCCATTCTGCATCTTTTTGCAGATTTTTGCATGTATGTTACTTAGGGTTAGCATGATTGGGCTGTAGTTCTTATTTGGGAAGGTCCTTCTCTGGTTTTAGTATCAGAGTAATGCTCACTTCTACAAATGACTCTAAGTTCTGCTTCCCTTTAATTTCTTTTAAGTTTCAGTGTTAGTGGCATTTGTTCTTTGCTAAATTCCTTCTAGAACTCAGCAGCTAATGCATCAGGGCCCGAACTTTTTTTTTCCTGTTAATTTTTAAATTAATTTTCAATTATATTGACTGATAATTTGTTGATTTTGAATTTTTACTTTGGTACTTCATATATATCTAAGAATCTGTCTGTTTTTCTTTGCTTTCATAGAATACAGGTTCTCAAATTATGTATTGATGAACTACATTTCTACAGGATCCTTTGTGATTTCTCCTTTTTCATATTAATTGCATGAATTTGATACTTTCATCTATTCAATGAGTTGTTTAAGATTCATGAGTTTTTAAAAAAAGATTTATGAGTTTTATTTACTCTTTCAAAGAACCAACTCTTTAATGCATTAATTCTTTGTACCGTTTCCTTAGTCTCAGTTCCTTCAATTTCCCCCATGTACAAGCTTTGGATTTGACTTTTTTGCTAAAAGTTGGAGGTTCAAAATTTTATTTGAGCTTGCTTTGTTTTCCTGATATGAGAATTCATGACTATAAATTTCCGTCTTGGGACTGCTTTCATTGTGTCCCATTACTCTTTGCATGTTATTTTGGTATTATCACTGAATTGTAGATACTGTTTATTTCTTAATTTCTTCTGTGATTCCTTAGTTGATCAGGAGAATGTTGCTTAACTTCTATGTGTTTATTTTGTAGTTCCTTTTAACATTGATTTCAGTTGCATTGTGTGTAGTCAAATAATATACATGAGATAATTTCTTCTGCATTCACCTGAGCAAGTTCTATGAGCTAGCATGTGGTCTGTTTTGAAGAACTTCCCATGTGCAGTGGAGAATATATATTCTGAGTCACGGATTTTATTTAATTACCTCCCCATGCCTCGCTTTTATTTTATTTCAAGGACAGAAAGAAAGAAGCAGGAAAAAAAACTAAAACTAAATTTCAAAACACCTTAATCAGAGGATGGAGTGGTACATACATTGCACATTGTCATCCCCAAAGGTTTTATTTAATTCAGATGCTTCCTTGTTACTATTTTTTTGGTCTAGTTTATCTGTTTGAGATAGTGAGCTATTAACCTCCTCCATTACAAATGTATTAGTGCTTATTATAATGTTTCATATATGTAAGTATTCATCTTATGTAATTGAATGTACCAGTATTTGATCCATATATTCTTGATTATTATCTGTTCTTGGGTTTTCTCATAACATGTAGTGATGTTGTCTCTTTTGACTTAGTTTTTGGCTTGAAATTGTCTGGCAATAGAATAGAGACTGATTGTCATAATTGTTATATATGTGCTTATCCTTGTTAAGTTCTTTTCTACTGATGGTTTCCTATCTTTCCCCTCTGTTTAATTGCTTGCCCTATTGGTAATTACTTTTTTCTATTGACATTATTAGAATTTTGGTTTTTGTTTCCTCTTTTTAGAATATCTTTCAAAACTATTTTTAGAATTGGTTTTATGGTTGTGAATTGCTTCAGTTATTGCTTGTCATAGAATATGTTATTTCTTCATTGATTTTGAAAGCTACCTAGAGATCTGAAGATGGTGGCTTGGTAGGTAGCAAGGTAGAGAGCCTCTCTAAGAAAAATAACTCAGACGCTAGAATTTAACAACATGGAGAAGACCAGATGAAAGGAGAGGCATTCTCATGACCCAGGAAGAAACTGAGGAAAAAGGAAAAGTAAGAAAGGAAGGAAAAATGTGGATTAAAGCCTAAAACCAGACATGCTTACTGGGACTGTTTCCACGCTCTGCTGGGCATGCCATGGAGTCCGATGATTGATGGTTGTACTGAAGTCGCTGCCACCGAAATTAGGAGTTGGTGAGTCCAGGGCCCTTGGCGGAGGATGCGGCACAGCATAGAATGGACCCACATGGAGAGCTGCATTAATTCACAGAGAATGCTGGAAATTGGGTCCCGATGGTTGTGGCCCCTTGAAGAATATACTACCGTTGGGCAGGACGGGCCTGAACCTGGAGCCGCAGTCAGCCACCCCTGACCCAAAGAGGACTGGTGGGATCTGCTTGGGCTGGGTCACGCCCCTGGTTGAGACCCAATAAGCAGGGACAAGTATGTCCTGAACCTGTGACTGCACAGCACAGACTAATATGCTGAAAGCCCTCGCCAGTTGACTGACTCAGAAGCCCACATCATCCCTGCGTGTACCTCAGATAACAGTAAACTGGAGAAGGCAGCAAGCCCCCAGCCAGCACACTTCAGAAAAGCCGTAAGCAATACAGAAAAGGCCTGAGACCTCCACCATACACCTGTCAGAAAAAAACCAGAAACATGATAAGAGAAATAAGAAAAAGCCTCCAGCCACTGACCCGGAGAAAATAAGTCCAGGAGAGGTAAATAGAGAAGAGATCCAGGACAGCAAATGTACGCTATCAGCCGCAGTGTCAGCTGACATAAAGAAATACCTTTGTGACTTCACAGACGAATTTAAAACTGAAATTCTAACCCAAGTGAGGCAAGATATAAAAAGATTAATAAAAAAAAGGCTAG